AGGCAATACTGGTCAGCATATTAGATGCCAATTTTTTTTACAGGCATCACTGCAATGGACAGTTACACACCAAAGGGGCCAGAATGATTTTGGGCTGGAAGAAGTCTCCAGTGTCTTAGCCTGCAGATCACACAAAACAGTCATCCATTCTCATTCACCGTGGGCCTCAGGGCAAGGGGTGGGGCTTCAGATGGAAAAGGCGGGGCCAAGGGCAGTCAGCTCTTAGCACCGCCCAGAATATGGTGTCCCTCCAGCTCTCAGAGCCATACAGTGCTGTGCTCTGGTGACAATTCAAAGGGGCTAGGGTTCCAGCCCCTGCCCTTGCCACAGTAGCAGCAGTGGTGACCAGGAGCTCATGGCCCCTTTGAATCACTGGCACCCCATGCAACTCCTCATCTGACCCTCTTCCCCGTCAGAGGGCCTTATCCTATCTCCTTCTAGATCACCTACCAATCCACAGACTGCAATGCGCTTCAATAAAATCAAGTCTCACAATTACCCTGTGAGCTGAGGAAGTATATTATCTTCATTTTACAAGTGGGAAACTGAGGCAGATTAAGTGTTTTGCCCTAAATCTCACAGGGAGTCTGCGATAGAGCTTGGAAGAAAATCCAAGGCTACTTACTCTCTGCCAAACCTCCCCCTCTTCTATATTACACTTTGGTAGGCTGAGGGTAGATATATACTGAATTTTATCTTTAAACATTTATTACCCGCACTTTTAAAAAATCCATTCTAGAAAGCTTTGTTCCGGGGTTCTCAAATTCCTGGCCCATGGGCAATCCCTGGCTGGAGCGATAGCACAAGCCAGCCTGGGACTCCCAGCTAGCTGGGGAGAGGGGCCTGTTTGTTACCATCCCCTAAACTCCACAGCTCCCCTCCCTTCCTTCCCGACATGACACCCTGTTCCCCCAAGGACATGGCTTTGGGGATCATGGGGGAGAGGGGAGCTGGTGCAGTGCAGTGGCAGTAGTTACACCCCCTCTTCACTCTCCAAGGTGGCAGGAGCTGTGGGGAAGCGGAGTGAGTGCATTTGCCTCTGCTTCCCCACAGCTCCTGCTGCTGCAAGGCTGGGGGGGGGCAGGGGGCAGAGCGGAAGGGGCATTGCTGCCACCACATCGTGCCAGGCCCCTCCCCGGTGTTTGATTCTGAGACCCCTGTTTATTCCTTCTTTTTGAAGTAAGATTAAATAGCTCCTGAACCTAAACCCGGGTAGAGCTAGAAAAATGCCACTGATTGTATTTCTCACTGCCCCACTCTGCCCAAAAAGCACCTAGGTCTAACTCCAGGTGTTTTCTGTCTGCCTGACTGAAGGTAGCAGGTTAGCGGAACAGAGGTTGATCCGTTGCTTCTATTCCAGAAAGGTGGCCAACTTCCATTTCCATGGAAACAGTTAATAGCTGTACATTTTGGACCCTCCCTCCCTCCTTTTCCTTAATTTTAATTCCTAGGCAGTTTCCAGGGAAATCTGATCACTGGGAAACCAGGTAAAAATGTTGACTGATTAAAAAACCTATTACACTTACCTGGCTTTTGCCAACTTAACTGTTCCTATAGAAACAGGAACCGGCCATTTGGCAGTCCTAGAATAGCAATGCATGCTTGTCAAGCTCACGTAATCTTTGAAACAGCTCCAGAGCAGACTACTAATGATTGTGTTGCCTAAAGGCATTTTAACTGAACAAAAACCAAGAAAAGTGCTTTTCTAAATTTCCCACACCAGCGCAGCTAGGCCTAGTCTAAACTTAAGTTTTAATTTTGACAGATTATTTTAGTTTGGGGTGTGAATTTTTTAAACCAATATAGTTATGCCATTAAAAGTCCTAGTGTGGACCCAGTTATACTAATATAGTTACTCCTGTTCCCTTACAGGGAAGGAGGAAAATAAACCATACGGCTGTGTCTAGACTGGGCACTTTTTCCGGAAAAGCAGCTGCTTTTCCGGAAAAACTTGCCAGCTGTCTACACTGGCCGCTTGAATTTCCGCAAAAGCACTGATGATCTCATGTAAGATTGTCAGTGCTTTTGTGGAAATACTATGCTGCTCCCGTTCAGGCAAAAGTCTTTTTCCGAAAAACTTTTGCGCAAAAGGGCCAGTGTAGACAGCAGAGATTTGTTTTCCGCAAAAAAGCCCCGATCGCGAAAATAGCGATCAGGGCTTTTTTTGCGGAAAAGCGCGTCTTGATTGGCCACGGACACTTTTCTGCAAAAAAGTGCTTTTGCAGAAAAGCGTCCTTCCAATCTAGACGCGCTTTTCCGAAAATGCTTTTAACGGAAATCTTTTCCGTTAAAAGCATTTCCGGAAAATCATGCCAGTCTAGACGTAGCCTACTTGTATAAACCACGTTTATATTGGTGAAACTGTGTTCACACTGGGGGATTGTTCACTTACACTTTAACTATACCAACATAATTAAAGCGTTCCTATTTTCCAGCCCCAATTAGATACCAACCCAGCTGCCTAAGAGCACATCTTCACTATGAGTTGGAATGATGGGCAGCGATCCATCCAGCAAGGGTCAATTTATCATGTCTAGATACAAATGATGGGCAGCAATCCATCCAGCAGGGGTCAATTTATCATGTCTAGATACTGCAGTGAGTAGATCTAAGTACATCAACTTCAGCTACCCTATCTGGGTAGCTGAAGTTGTATAACTTAGACCAATGGCCCCAGTAACGTATACTAAACCTAAACATTCAGTTACTATTAAGCAGACTGCCATCCTTATACCCACTATTCTTCCATGGGAAACTTGTATTTTTTTTAAACTGAAGTTATTTAAATTGATTAGTATCAGGGCTGAAAAGAAATACAAAATGTCCCTCCCCTCACTTTGGGGTTTACACCAGATTTATTTTAGTGGAACTGCTGTAGGCAAACCCATTGTTTTTCCTACTTTATTGAACCACGACCTGGACTCCACTTCCTGCTTCTTCTTTTCTTATATGAATGTTCCCTTTTAACCCCCTATCCAATCTCCTTGTGAAGAAATACATCTTTTCTGCACCTGTCTGGATACTTGCTAAGGTCTGGGGACAGGACATATAATGCTAAACAAAAAACAAATAGCAATAATGCAAAGAATAGCAACAGCCGACTGGGAAATTGACAATCAAGATCAACAATAGGCAGGGGAAATAGATGAAGTAGTGAGTCCTACATAGCTTTACACATTCAGGACACATGCACCATCTAAAGCTAGTTTTTCTATAGACATCAATGCAAACGCCACAGGTTTCATCATGCCTTTCTATTTCCCTATACCCACTACAGCCACATCTCAAAATGAGGCATATAATGTATCACCAAACCAAGAGTCAGCATGCCCACATGCACACGCACATAGACAGAGAGCCCACTTGTTGGCTCACCAAGTGCATATATATAGTTTATTTTTCTCTGGGTGCTGATCCTTAGAGGTCTTCCCTGCTAAATGTCACTGTGGGGAGATTGCTATTTCAAGTATTACTTGTGGGAGATAGAGGAAAGACGCAAGCAGCACTTTTTGCTCATTTCACATTTTCCTCCATTAAGGGAGCAGCTTAGTAAGAGCAAGCCCTAAGGAGTAAATCCAGTAGGTTTAAATGCCGAGCAGCACTGGGCATTGAACACTGGCGTACATATGAGTTTTAATTATTCTCAGTCAAACGTCTTACCCATTAGCTTTTTCAATGCTAGCTTTCTTTCAATGCAATTCCACAAATTTCAGTGCACATCCAAGCACAAAGAGGTGATATGGGACTTCCTAACTCCGGGGGGCGGGAGGGAAGATGAAAAATCAGGGAATTGCACCAGTCTCATGACTTCAGCATGCTGTTTTCTATAAATTCTAGTTTCATGGTTCAGTATTTGTGATGCTGAGAGTGTATTAAAAATATAAAGCTATGGCTGATTTGTAAGAATAGGAGCTTAATATGGGTCCAAATTAATCAAGAACTTGTATTAATATCCTGAGGGATTTGAACATGTTTTAAAAATAAGTGGCTAGGCTGTTTCCTACGGGGAGATAGGAGGCAGCAAGTAGGCTGTTAGGAGACATACTACCCTTGCCTTCCAGCTGGCTGCTGCACCCAAAACCTCCCCTTGGGTTGGCCATGAAAATGGAGGAAATACACGTAAATTCATGCCACCGATGACTGAATGATGGCTACACACAGTGCATTCAAGGTACCAGAAAGTGCCTTTCACTGGTCTTTACAACACACACTTAAAAAAGGGAGACATATCTACCTAGAGAACATGAATTATAAAGCACATCACTCTCATGGAGAAAGGTCACAACACTACAGTTTTTAAGCCAAAATATTACTCCAGAAGAGATTACTGCTATAACCAATCATCTCATTAGTGGCAACATCAAGCTGATAAACCATATAATAGAGAAGCCATCAGGCAGCACCATTTGGAAGCACTAAGGTTGGAGAAAGAGAAGCATATTAGGAAGAACATGACCTACAAGGAGAGGCTGTGGGATTTGGGCTTATTTAGTTTGCCTAAGAGAAGAGTGAGGGAGGATTTGATAACAACCTTCAACTTCCTGAAGGGAGGTTCCAAAAGGGATGGAGAGAGGTTGGTCTCAGTGGTGGCAGATGACAGAACGAGGAGCAATGGTCTCAAGTTACAATGTGGGAGGTCTAGGTTGGATATTAGGAAAAACTATTTCCCCAGGAGGGTGGTGAAGCACTGGAACGGGTTCCCTAGGGAAGTGGTGGAATCTCCATCCCTAGAGGTTTTAAGCCCCAGCTTGACAAAGCCCTGGCTGGGATGATTTAGTTGGGGTTGGTCCTGCTTTGGGCAGGGGGCTGGACTCGATGATTCCTGAGATCTCTTCCAGCCCTATGATTCTAAGAACAGTGATTGTATTCAGAATGCTCACTTTTTCAAGTAGCTTGTACCTGCTGGGCTGTAATACTTGGATGCTGTGGAACCAATCCTGCACAATTTTCCCTGTAGATTTTAATTCCTGGAGTAGCAGAACTCAGCATGGGCTTTAAAGCAAAGTGCAAGGCTTGTATTTTTTTCAAGGAACCAGTCAGGTGGAACCAATAGGATTTTTTAAGCCAACATTCTCTTTTCCTCCTCCAATTTATATTCTACACAAAGCTGGCTCTTCAGTGTCATTGTCAAGTCCTTTCTATTCTTTCCTGGAAATATGGTTAGTGGGTTACATTTTCTTCTGCCTGCACCACCCACAAACCAATGTTCTGCATTTTATTTCTTTTTTTCAGAAAGTCATATAGTATCCTTCCATGGTGCTAACAATATCACTGTTTCTTTCCAGCAGATTCACAACATGATGCATCACCGCTTCACTTAGATAAGGACTGTAGCTCTGGCGAACACAAGACAGGATGTGAAGAAAATGGCAGCCTTTTTCAGCATCTGCAGAAACAAAGGTAAAATGCAACAAGTCATGGACTCTGTAAGGAAAGGGACCAAGGGGCTGAGTTTGCAGTTCTGACATTGGCTAATGTTCCCATAACTTCACTGAAAAGTGCCAGTGTTAGAGCTAAAAAAGTAATAAGGAGAACGTGAGTTATTGGTTAGATAAGTCTGACAGAAGGCAGGGAGATCTAACACCTAAAGGTACATCCTGAACAGTGGTAACACATTTCAGACCCCACTCTGAGTTGTAAATCTCCATTCACAGTCTTTCAAGTTAGTCTTTCAGTCTGCAGCTCACTAAGAAGAGATCCAGTAGAAAGGCTTTTCCACATTTGACTAGTCTGAGTTTTGAAGCTCTAAACCCAGACAGTTAGATAAACTAATATACTCAGCCAGTACTGAATGTTTGCCCAATGCTGACACCTTGTGGCCAAGCTGTGGCACTATACCTATTTTATACAACAGCAAAACAAACAAATAATTCTACATTTTACCGACTCCTCGGGCAATTGCCTGAACAGAAAGTCATAGATTTGTGATCTAGGCTTTCAGTGACTTTCACATTCCCTAAAGAGAGGTGAACTGACAGGCCTTTCACATACAAAGTTCCAAATTTTACAATTCTCTTCCAACAGTTCATAGATTCCACAACCAGAAAGAATCACTGATCATCTTAGGCTGACTTCCTGTACAATACAGGCCATGCAACTTCTACAAAATAACTCTTATAGTGTAAAGATGCCCCTAACTCCAACTTAGGGAACAACATGTGTTGTGCTGCCTTAAGGCAAAAGCCTTCTTCTGCAATTCAGCCTGCATAAACCCAGAGTAAGTGGGCTTTGCTCAACAGAGTTACAAAGTGCATAAAACAACAGCAGGAGAAGAATTCCTTTTCCAGGTGCTGAGCAGCATTATGAGCTGCAGTGGGGTTTGTGGTTGTTGCATCCTCCCCAATGGAAGGGGGATTTGGCTGGTAGAGCAATGAAGTAGGAGCTGGACTAGTCCCACCTGTAACACTTTTCCCATTCCATTTCGTTATCTAATGCTGCAGGATCATAGTGCCTCCCAAAAACATCAGGGGAAAGAAGCATTAAGAGATGCACGAGAGTGAGGTTCTGCTCTTCCTACTGTCTCTGGTGCAGAAAAGACAAGGCTAGTGTATTGGGAAACTAACGGTTTGGTTGTGAGGTTTGCTGCGACTGTTCTTTCCACCTCTAGAAGGAAGAGACATGTAGCTTTGAGCCAAATTTTTGAACCACCTGCTGTTATAGCTCCATTGCCTAATCTTACAAGCATGACTAGTGAGACGCATAGTGGCAGAGTTGTTGTACATAGTAAGACTGGCCTAAAAGAGCACTTATTGCCCAATGCATGGAGAGCCTTAACTGCTTTCTTAAATGGAGCCAACATTCTATGAGGAACCAGTGTGGTACATAGAAGACAAGGGTAACATGCTTTCGGTAGCGAGTGTTGCCAAAGAGATGGGTCATTGCGCTCTGGATCAATTGGAGGTTTGTTTTAAGAAGGCCAGAGTACTCATTACCAAACAAACAAGTTACAGTGACCCAGGCTAAGTCATTAAGGAATGGCCCAGCTCAGCATCCAACAACAGGAAGAGAGAAGGTGACATTTTTTCAGTCATTGGTCCTTGTGATTACAGAAGCACTGAGCAGCCCAGAATTACTTCTGACCACTTGAGGGCTGATTTCCTCTCTAGTGGGAGATGCTGTAATAATCTTCATAAGGTTACCCTCTTCCTTCTGACTTTCATCCATCCACATACTGATCTCAGCCTCTGAGATATAGGCAGACAATAGTGCTGTCATTGGCAAAGATGAGCAAGGTATAGAGCTGGCAGTCATCTGCCTATAATTGACAGCTGATACAGGGATGTCCCAGGTGGTTTCATGTAGATATTAGGCACTATGGGTGTTAAAATAGAGCCCATGTCCTATTTCAACCTAGGGGCAGAGCAAATAAGAACAGAGAAGAAGCTGGATAAGGAGCCCTCTGTTTTGTAATGCCTTCTGGAGACAAATTCTAATAATTCTAGCTGCCTTTCAGCCATGCTCTCACTGCTATGCTGGCCTCTGAAAGGGTGTTTTTTGTGAACTTGATTGGTTGTGACTGCCCTTGATTTGGACCAGGACTGTCCTTTAAGTGTATGATAGAACAGTTTTACAAGAACCTCATGTAAACATATTTTAGGGCCCCAGAGTTTATTCGTTTCTGGATGTCGGTTTGTGGCATAGTAACCCACGTCTTATGTACAAACTGACTGACACAGTTTATCTTAAGAGTTAGTAGAAAGAGAGCTGTAATTAGCGACAAAGATTAGATAGAAAAAAGCCTCCCTTCTTGAAGGAAACTGGGAATTTCTTTCAATTAGTAAGAGTTGCTGTGTTAGTGCCTTTCAATTATTTCACCTTAGGTTTCCACAATTCAAAGTACAGTAAAACTCCAATAGTCTGGCATCCAATAGTCCGGCACTCCTGATAGTCCGGCATCAAAATGGCAAGAGCCTAGTGAGTGAGCTTCGGCAAAAAATGAGTCACAAGGTAACAGCGGCAGCAGTTGAACTGAGCAAAAAGGGTAAAAAAGGCTTAAAAAAACTAAAACATTACAGTATACTGTATACAGTATGTACAATAAAAAGGGTTAAGAACACTTTATATACAGTATATAATGTATACAGTATATATATATATATAACCAGTTTATAGTACCTCCTGATAGTCCGGCATATTTGATAATCTGACACCATCTACGTCCCATAGGTTCCGGATTATCGGAAGTCTACTGTAGTTTGTTTGGATACCCACAACCACCAGAGGGCATGCGAGAGCTAGCATAGTGCACAGTGCTATCTTTAAAGTCTCTGACATTGACCACACATTATTTAAGCCATTTTCTGTGGCCACATGGGCTATTTCAGCTTTAATCTTCAAGACAGTTTCAGCCTTCCCAGTTGACTGCTTGACAATCCTATTATGTTCAGTGAGCATATTACACAAACAATCCTACAGAAAGACAACAGGGTGATAGAAAACAGACCTGAAAATTCCGTCCTTTGCAATACAAAATAATTTACTATAATTGTGTGTCAATAAAAAAGAAAAAATCAAATTAGCCATAGATCACATTTAAGCGGATATATTTGTTCCTTCTCAAATCCAGGAGACAAGCATCCTGCAGCTATAATTTCATCAGATCTGAAACTAAACAGAATCAAGCCTGCTCAGAATACAAATGACCTGCCTGGAAAGCTCAGGTTCTTCATGAAGCAGAGTTAGTACTTCACTAGTTGCCATTCTTCCCCTTGATGAAGGAGAGAAAGAATGCTATTGTGGTTAAGACACTGGAATAAGATTTGAGACACCTTGGCTGTTCCACAGACTCACTGTGACTCTGACCAAGTCACTTAATCTCTCTGTGCCTCAGTTCCCTGTCTGTTCAATGAGGCAGAATACCTCCTAGCCTCAGAGGGCTGCTATGAAGTGCTCAGGTAGGTCAGTAATGAGGAGGGTAGCAGGTGCTGAGTAATAGATACTAAACTAAATGCCCAAAGCTATCATTACAGTACTATGTTGCCAAAGGTATGGTCTTCTGGATGAGAAGAAAAACAGTCCCTAACTATTTAAGGGATATTTAAATATGATGCTCAGAATTATTAATGAATTACAGTAGCATCTAGAGTCTCACAGTAGGATTGGTGCTCCTGCACCCTCGGTACAGTACGTACATACACACATGAAGAGAGGTCCTGCCTTTTACATTCAAATGTAAGGCAAGACTCAAGAAGCGAGGGTAGGAGTTGGCCAGATGAGATAGCTTGTGAGTGAAACTACAGTACATCCTCATCGAGGTGGTGCCAACTCATTTGAAAGTTGTTTAAAAAAAAGAATTAAAAAAATCAGCTATTCCAAACATCCCTCTGTCTCGTTGGCAGATTTCTTGTAGGCATCAGTAGCAATCGGCTACTAACAGCACTAATGTTGGTATGGTGGCACATCAGGCAACTATGTTCAGACATGCCAAGTTACCCCAGCTGAACATTTGTAGCAATTATTCTTCACATTCCTAGTTTTGTGATGCTAACACAGAATAGCTGACATGTTCTAGCTAGACAAGGTAGGGTGAGAAGACCTCTGTGTAGCTCAAAAGCTTGTACCTTCCACCAACAGAAGTTGGTCCAATAGCTCGTCTGTCTCTTATGCTGGGGCCAACCCAACAACAACACTGCAAAAAGTCTTCTAGCTAGCCATTTATGTCATGCTGCTGTCTACGGTGTCCAGAAGTGGCTGCATTTCAGGGGTGAGTGAATGACCCCATGCGTCACATTCTGCATTGGTTTCGGAATGAGAGAAAAACCCTTGAGTCATGTACATTTATCATTAGGTTAGGTGCCTCAAACTAAACACAAGCCATTGCCATAGCAATGACACACTCTGATCTTGGGGGAAAGGAGCAATTTTAAAGGCATATCATCTGCTTAGAAAATTTAATTAGGTGATTTAATTGATCCCGTCATCTGCTTAGAAATTAATTTAATTAGGTGATTTAATTGATCCCTGTGCACAGGGACCACACATAGTCTATGTATCACTTAAAGACTATGGTATGGATGAAATCCTGGCTCCATTGCAGTCAACAATGACTTCAATGCAGTCTAGATTTCACCCTGGAGGCTTGGGCCCCTGTTATAGGGATCAATTTCATTTAAAAATGTCCTAAAAATCTACACCTTAGTGAAGGCAACTGACTCCACACTACCCCTTTTGTGACATCACTCATACTGACACTGAGTTCATGAGGTGTGTGTTTATTCAGTAGTGAAAAGTACAAACCACCAGGGGCTGAGCTAGCCCTATTTGACTGTTCCGTCTGAAACCTAAATCCTCCACTGAGTTCACATCCAAGTCTCCAACATTCAGAGTGGCTGTTCATTTCAGAATTAAAGTGCTTTCTCCCTGCATAGTATTGTTGACAGCTTCCACGCTCAAGACACTCTAGCATGCCCGGCACCAGGCTTTTGACTGAACAAAGAAGAGAGGGAGGATAAGGCTAACTTAAGCTTGAGTTCAGGAAAAAAAAGGAAAGGGCTATTCTAATCAAGCAGCAGGAGGAGATACTGTTGTCTATGATGGGTCAGCACTGGCTCAGAGACCAGACCATACACCTACTTACGCCTGGGTTTTCGACAATCTGCTTTGACGATACTAAGGGTCATGCTGTATAACTCCTTATCCTGGTCAGTCACCTAGAACACACAAGAAAAATTGCCAATTCACAGTAGTCTGCCTTGCAAACACATGAACTAAGAAGGTACATGCTAGCCTGACATTACCATGATGGTACCTTTGCATTTGTGCTATATACAAAAGCAGTCACTTCTAGCTTCAAGTTATTCTTGTTATAAAAATAATATTAATAAACAATTAGGTGAAAGACAGCACACAAGGATCATTTCAAAAGGAGAGAGCTGCACAAATTGCATAGCTTATTTTGAAATTTTGAAATAAAGCGCTATTCTGAACTGTCCCTTAATCCTCATGGAATGAGGTGTCCAGGGACATTGGAATACCATGCCTGTTATTTTGAAAAATATTTTGAAGTAATAGGCACAATGACAAGATGCGGAATAGCTATTTTTGGATACCGGAAGTATCCAGAAATAGCGCCGCTGTCTAGACGTATCCTTACAGACTAACACTACTACCCCTCTGAAACTTCAGAGGGACTTGGAAACCCAATGGAGAGGGAGTTCAGGGCGCTACTTCTAGGTAAAGGGAGAGTCATTCATAGCTGAAACTAGGTTAGACCAAAGGATTCACTGGATCTAGTGTCTTGCATTCACTGAATAGATCGAGTGTCTGTGGATCACAAGGGTGCCACTTTGCACCTCTCCACAGGTAACATGCAGGATGGTCTCGCTATTTGGTCACGTTGGCTAAATGTTTGGGGTTACCAAGGATGTCTACTGCAGTTGTTGGTCAGCAAGAAGCAGAAGCAGCAGCTGTCCAGCTTTCTCCAACATGTACACAAAAGAAACTGAAAAGATACTGAAGAGGGGAAGTACTTCAAGCAATGAAGAGGGCTAACACTTTTGAACATGTAAATAGATCCCATAGGGTCCACCTTCCCCTGCTGAAACTGCCTCTTGGATTATGCAATTCAATCATATTACAGAGCGCCTCTTATTTGACTCGACATTCATGATATCTGGTTACACATCCCACAATGAGAGTTCAGTTCCTTACATGATACAAGTCCTTGGGGAGGTTTGACTTCTGGAAAACCACTCCTTTTTCCTGAAGCACCTCTATTGCTTGTTTGAACGCACTGTGTATCAGTTTGGAGCTGGCTTCGCTTTTTGAATCCATCTGGATGGGGAAAAGGAACAAACAAAATACACACAAGATGTGAAGTCACAGTCCTGTTGAAGTCATTGGTGAAAATGAATTTCAATAGAGCCAGCATGTCAACCAGTCTTTTTAGACAGATATCTTCCTCAGCAAAGCCAAGCCAGTTCTTTGGCTCAAGAGTTCACAAGTTATATTATATACAATTTAAGCCAATTCTCAGGCCAGAAGGGAATCACAGGTTTGTACCCCAGCACGGCAGCAGAGCCACTCAAGTCACCAGTTGCCTTTTTAATTTTTGATGACGAGCCCATCAAATAGAGCCACCTCCTCCTAACTCTGGAGCACTGCAACCCAGGAGGCTACTATGGTGTTTGATTGACATGGATTAGGAGATTGACTCATTTCCATCCTCCAACTGCAGCGACATACACGGGTTCTGATTTTGACAGACTTCACAACTTAGGTGGCCAGGACAAAGGGTGGGTCGAGCATTACTTTGTCTAGGTGACCTCCAACAAGAATTGGAGGGATGGTGACTCTCTTCCCTCTGAGTCAGTTCTAAGCCAGTTTCCTAGAGAAGGAAGGGAATGGTGGCAGGAGCCATACAGACATGTGGAGCGAGAAAAAGGGAGTGATAAAAGAGGTGGAGGAGAGGAGATGCTACTTATCGACTGACAAATACTGTCTCATTGCATCCTTGTGTTCCCCCACACAAACATCTGTTGTTTTCTCTTATACTTAGAATGTAAGCTTTTTGAGTTGGGACCATCTTTCTGTTCTGTACAGTGTCCAGCACAGCAGGATACTGGCCCACGACCGAGGGGCGTAGGTGCTATAGTAATACAAATAATAGCAAAAAAGAGTGGTTTAAAACATTGCTAAATAGTAATACAAATAATAGTAAAAAAGAGTGGTTTAAAACATTGCTAACCCCAAGCATTCAGAATATCAAGAGTCAGGACACCCAAGATCATGACATTTTATAAAAGATAAAAGTGTATTTATTTTTATTTGCCATCTGTGGGGGGGAGGGGGCTATTCTTTTAACTCAGTGGGGGCACTGAGGTCATTTTTCAAGATTTTTTCCTACAAGCATGGAGAAAGTTTTACAAATTGAAAAAATAAAACAAAACATGAAATTGTGAAAGCTAAGACTCACGTTCAGATGACTCCAGGAGCTGGGACTTTACAAAAGCAAATAAATATTGAAAGAGTTGACACCACAGATTTTGCGATAGGAGGTAAGCAACATAAGAACAGCCATAGTGAGTGAGACCAATAGTCCAGCTAGCCCAGTATCTATCTAGCTCAATATCCTGTATTCAATGCCAATGCCAGGTGCTTCAGAAGGAACGGAGTCATCAATGCCCTGCTGTCTACTTCCAGTAGGCAGAGGCTAGAGGTACCCAGAGCATAGGGTTTTCTTCCTGACCATCTGGGCTGATAGTCATTGATTGCCTTATCCTCCTTGAACTGATCCAAAACGTTTTTTGAACCTGTTATAGTTTTGGATTTCACAATGTCCACTGGTAATCCACAGCTTGACTGTCCATTGTGTGAGTAAGTACTTCCTTGTATTTGTTTTAAACCCGCTGTCTATAATTTTATTGGGGGACCCATGGTTCTTGTGTTATGTGAAAAGGAAGTGTTATTTACCTTACTCACCAGCAAAGAGTAAGAGACACATACAAGATGAAGAGAGTTGTGGGGAAAACAGGAAGTGTGTTAAGGGGAGTAACTTTAGAGCAGTGGTCCCCAATCTTTTGGGGCTGCCGGGCACCCGGGGGCAGGGCCGCTCGTGCGCCGCGCACCCGGGACCAGCCCACCATGCGCCATGCATCTGGGGGCAGGGCCGCCCATGGAAGCATAGTGGTCACATGGTGCCTCTTTTTTTTGGAGGTGGGGGGAGGGTTGAGAGAAACATGCTTTGCTTTACCGCGACTCTTCTAGCCAACTAAGGAAGCACATTTAGTGGCTTTTTTGCAAGAGGTTTTGATGGATGCTTTTTTTGAGTGAAATAGGGAAGATTGGGCACTTATCAGGGCTCTCACAAGAAAGTACAGCTTCCTCATGCCATGCATACTTCTCCACAAAAGGAAGGAAATGTTGCCCTTCTAGATGTTGGAATATACCTTCAACAGCAGGGATACTACCAGCAAAGCAATTGCCTCCTGCAAGATGCTGATCAATTTTTAATGCAAAAGCAATGAATCAGAGACTCAAAGAGAAAGACAAAAAAAATCTCCAAAGGAGTGTGATAATTATTCAGTTTGGTCTAATGCTGAGATCCCGTCAGCAGGAGGAGATAATTGGGAACATGCTCTGTGCAAGCTGACGCATGGGTCGGCTTGGATGGATACTGAAAGAGAATCATTAAGGACGCATGTCGAGAGATTGACAGAGCAAACAGACAGAACAGACTTTGGGATGAAAAGAAAAAAGCATCAGTTCCTGTTTATTGAAGCTTCTTTGACATGCACTCATGAACCTAGGTGAACAGGCCTACAACAACAGGTGATCCTTGGGACAGCTCCCCATCAAGGGAACTTGGTAGGCCCCATGAAAGGTAGAAGAGAATTGGCACAGAAAATTACAGGGGAACTCAGGGTACATCTATGCAGCCGGGCAAAACTCGAATTAAGCTATGCAACTTCAGCTATGTCAATTGAGTAGCTTAAGTCAAAATAGCTTCCCTCAGCTTTTGGCACTGTCTGCACAGCAGGAAGCTGAAGGAAGAACACTCCTCCTTCACCTTCCCTTCCTCCTCATAAAATGCGGGTTACAGGAGTTGGAGTAAAAAGTCCCCCAGCTCACCATTTTTTAAAAAAAATAAAGGCTTGTAGTGTAGACTTGCACTATGTTACTTCGGAATAATGTCAGGTATTCCAAAATAACGCTACTGTGAAGACTTACCCACAGGGTCATTTTTCATTGCAAAAAGTATCCTAATGTGTCCCTCCGTCTTCACCCTTGGACTTGGTTCACGGTTTGGTAATTTTCCTCTTTACTGCAAACTACTCCTGGCCTTCAAATCCACTCAGACACCTCCACCAAAAGCCCTCCTTTTCAAGATGCTTCCCCCAGTTTACACAGCACACTCAAGGGGGGTAAAGTATCCTCATATCATGGAAGCTGGTACTATTTGTGTCAATTTCACTTTACTTCTCTCTTCTACAAAAAGTGACTTCACTTCCAAAGTAATCCCTAAAGCCTCTCTTGGCTGTTTTGGTGGCCTCACCGTCTCCTACCCACTACCCAGGTGTCTCTCTGCTTTCTCCGATTTCAGACTGAGCTTTGTTTCATGGCTTTCAGGCTGCTTGGAACAAACCTCTCCATGCTCACTGAATCCCCAAAGATGCCCCATGCTTATGCCACAAATCATTACAATTACAGTGACCATACACCTTTTGGTATTGGGCTGTGTCAAGAGGCAACAGGCCCCTGAAGACCCTGTAAACTTATTCCCTTTGATTGGTTGTTGGGCCATGCACCACGGCTATTTTCGGAACGGCCCAATACCCCAGTTCCTATGCAAATCTCTCTCGTCAGGGTATTACGGCCCAGAGTCCTCAGTTAATATACTAGCACCTCTAGTCAGGGTTTTATGACTCATCGGCCTCAGTTAATATGCAAGTCCCCCTCCTCAGGGTAATACGGCCAAGAGGTCTCAGTTCGTATGCAAGTCCCCTCCTTCAGGGTATCATGGCCCCGTAGCCTGTTAATACACAAGATCCTGAGAGGTCTCAGTTCGTACGCAAGTCCCCTCTTCAGGGTATTATGGCCCCGTAGCCTGTTAATACACAAGATCCTGTAGTCAGGGCATTATGGCCCAGCGACATAGCCATAAACACTAGAAAAACTCCCCCATACAGGGGTATGTAAGGATGGGTTAGGGGGACTGGGGCCCTCCCTCTCCCAGCTCAGGGCCTTGTTGGCAGTGGCACAGTCCACTGCTTGCTCAGCAGAGAATCCTGCCGCAACTCACTGAGCACTTGGGGAGCAATTCCCCACCCTGGGCTACTTCCCACCAGATCCTGGCAGACGTTCTCCCTGTATTCTCACTCTAAGCTGCCGGCTTCTCAGGTAGCCCCTCTCGGCCTGGCTGCTGCTGTTTGATCCTCTCAGCCAGCTAGGCCAAGGCATCTCGGTCAGGCTCAGTGAGGGGTTGATACACCCCGTCACAGGCTGTATAGGATCCCAGCTGTGCCACTGGACTGAGCTCTTAGGCAGGAATTGGGTTTTTTTCAGTACAAGCCCACCAACTGTACAGCACTGTGTGCACATATGAGGTTACAGCAAATAAACACAATCTGTGGGAAGGTAACCCCCTATATCATATCACATCTCTGTCCCTCCTCCTGAAGGAGGATGAAGGCTTGGCAACTGGAGAGATAAAAGGACTGCAACATGACTCATCAAATAATACATTACCTTTGGGTTTTTTTCAGTACAAGCCCACCAACTGTACAGCACTGTGTGCACATATGAGGTTACAGCAAATAAACACAATCTGTGGGAAGGTAACCCCCTATATCATATCACATCTCTGTCCCTCCTCCTGAAGGAGGATGAAGGCTTGGCAACTGGAGAGATAAAAGGACTGCAACATGACTCATCAAATAATACATTACCTCATTATTCCTACTTTGAAGTAGGAATAAGAGATCCTCCGGAAAAGGGCTTTATTCCGGAGGATCGCGCCAGTCTAGACGCTTTTTTCCGGCTTTTCCCCAAGCCGGAAAAAAAGCGGCGGCCATGTTTATTTAAATCCTTCATGAACATTAGTGATTTACAGCCTGATCTAAAGCACCCTGAAAAAGAATCCCATTGACTTCTATGGCTTTGCGGACATTCTCAATTCTCACTTCCATGTGAGTTAGGTACAATTACTGGCCTATATTGTTCCAGTGACTAGATTTTAAGTTCTTCAGTTTTAGAGTGCTCAATTTGGGACACCTTAAAGAGATCTGATTTCACGAAAGTGCCAAGAGCACAGAGACCTGAAAATCAGCCCCTTTCTTAAAGAGATCTGCCAAGAGCACAGAGACCTGAAAATCAGCCCCTTTAAAAGGTGCGTCAAGTGGAGTGCCCAAAAATGGAGGCATCCAAAATCACCAGCCACTTTTGTAAGTTTGGGCCACTATCCCTATTCTGCACATGGGAAACAGAGGCAGAGTTTAAATAATGTCTTCCCCGCTTTGCACATGGAGCCTGTGGCAGAGCCAGCAATAAATCCAAGTCTCACATTACACCACAGACTAGAATTTGTGTAGCCAGTTATTCTCACCTTATGCCTTTCAAAAAAGCTATCCAAGCAAAACAGGCCAAGGTGCACAGTGATGCAGGAATTATCTTCTTTGCTGGGGAAGACTGTTGAAGGCACAGCACACCCAAGGGCTTAAAGTATCTTGGTATAATGGAACGTGGTATTGTCTGTGTCAGCGTCTCTTTTCACACAGTGCTTAAGCCTGGTCTTAGAGCAGGTGACAAGTTCAGTAAGAGATTCCTTGGCTTGTCAGGCATAGTGTCATCTTGTCATCATATCTGCACTATAGTCTCAAGAGGAAGAGATAAATCCATGTCAGCAAGCTGATGGGCAAGCCCTTTAGTAGTAGATATGTATGCACCAGGACACACAAGAAATCCAAGCTTAGAGTAAATATAAACAGCATTTTAAATTCCATGTTATAAATATTTGTCCTTGTTGACCCTGAGGTTATAATCAGACCAAGGAAAATATAAGCTGACGGGTCTGGAAAACACAATTCCAAAAGAGCTGTCCAAGCTAGTGACATGTTAACATCCCACTTGGTATTAAAATAGCACATTGTACAGCCTCATAACGAAGGAAGTGCAAAAAAACCCTGCTTAGCTCAGGAAACAAAACCATAGGGTATGATGCAACTGTGGCTGCTTGGTTGTGAGCCATACCAAGGAGCTATTTACTCCAGTTCAGGAACTGGATGGATAAAATTTATATATAGTTTTCATTCAAAGAAGAACCAAATACTCGTTCATCTGTCAAACACAATAGCACTCTTAGCTGGACTTAGGATCTTCTTGGGCATGCTAAATACTGGGTGACATTTGTCTCCACTTCCTGCATAGAAACCTCAAAGTAGTATTTATCGTATCTATTTTTGAAACCCAGTTATTCTCTCAACAGTCACTAGTGGGGGAAATGATATAGCTCAAACATATGGGGAGAGATCCAAGGTTTTTTAAATTATTTTGTTAGCAAAAACTAATAGGAATGTGTGTTTGTATTTAATAAAATTGATTTAAAAAAATCTATCCCCTTTCAGTATTTTAAAATCCTAAACACTGCAACCTTGTGCTAGAGATAATGAGAGCCACCAAGGAAACTGATTATATATCAAAGTCTAATTGAGTCCTACACAGTGTTCAGGTTACATGCAAGAAGTAAACAAATATATCATTTAACAGGATGTGCTTGAGAGAGTTACATTTTGGGTATCCTAGTATAACCCTTTCATTCTATATTAAAATATTAGACCCAATTCTCTTTTGCCCTGCCCCTTCTGTAGCCATTTGCACTGTACCCAATTTGGTGTAAGACATTACAAAAAAAAATCACTTTAGTGGCTTTATAGCCACTTGGCACTCATGCAAATGGTTGCCTGGGAAATGAAGAATCAGGTGCATTATTTTGTTGAGGTCCATTCAGTCTCTTGGAGGGTACAAAGAATGAATACTGTCCAATGACCAAGTAGATGGGCAATCATTACCTGCTCTGACAAATGGGCACTAGCAGGAGTGGGCCTGAAGATGTGTACATCACAGAACAGATTCTCCCTTTTACAAATACTTTGTAAGGTGGATTAATTAGGAAACGCACCTGGAAGAACTACTGTTTTTCCAGGAGGAACACTGGGTACCTGACTCCTTGTGATTTATAAAAGCCACTTACACCAAGAGCTGCAAGATCAGGGATCTATATTTATATTTATAAATCCCTCTCTCCTCCCAGATCAGGGATCCATTGTGATGAGCACTGTACACACATCGTTCTATACTCGGAATAGCTTTTGTAAGCCATTTGTTCTGTTTCTTCTACAAATGCTGTGTAGGAACTTGTCAAAATGATCATTCCTTTCTATAACCCAGATGGTTAACCCAGATGTCCAATCCTGTGTTTGATGTTCTTGTACTGGTTTCTTTACCACAAACTGTCAGGGCTCCTGTTAATATTCATTCTTCTTTGCTTTGTTAAGAGCACAACAACAAAAGCTCCTTTAATAAAAGGAGGCCAAAAATAGTCTCCAGGAAGCAACCACTAGGAAGCATTTTACGGACCTGCAGGGAGTAATTTTCATTACTGCGTGAATTGAATGAAGAAGTTTTTTTCAGTTAAATGTCCCTCTATAGTGCTGCAAATCTAAAGTCAGAGAGTTATGTTAGCAACAGAACCAAACTAGGAGCAGTAAAATGCAAAAGTGAATCAGCTTAACCAATAATCAGGTTTAATACTCTTGGTTGTTTTTAGTAACACAGCTAAAGAAATAATTATGTACATATACCAGCCAGTCTCAATTCATGTAAATCAGGATAGCTCCATTAACTTCAATGGAGAGACACCAATTTACACCAGTTGAGAATCTGGCCTGTTACATAAGAACATAAGAATGGCCGTACTGGGTCAGACCAAAGGTTCACCTAGCCCAGCAGCCTGTCTGCCGACAGTGGCCAGCACCAGGTGCCCCAGAGGTGGTGGACTGAAGACAATGATCAAGCGATTTGTCTCCTGCCATCCTTTTCCAGCCTCTGAAAACAGAAGCAATGGACACTATTTCTATCCCCTGGCTAATAGCCTTTTATGGACCTAACCTCTGTGAAATTATCTAGCTTCTCTTTAACTCTGTCATAGTCCTAGCCTTCACAGCCTCCTCTGGCAAGGAGTTCCACAGGTTGACTACGTGCTGTGTGAAGAAGAACTTTCTTGTATTAGTTTTAAACCTGCTACCCATTAATTTCATTTGGTGTCCTCTAGTTCTTCTATTATGGGAACTAATAAATAACTTTTCTTTATTCACCCTCTCCACACCACTCATGATTTTATAGACCTCTATCATATCCCCCCTTAGTCTCCTCTTTTCTAAACTGAAAAGTCCCAGTCGCTTTAGCCTCTCTTTATATGGGACCCGTTCCAAACCCCTAATCATTTTAGTTGCCCTTTTCTGAACCCTTTCCAAGGCCAAAATATCTTTTTTGAGGTGAAAGAGACCACAGCTGTACACAATACTCAAGATGTGGGCGTACCATAGTTTTATACAGGGGCCGTATACTGTTCATCTCAATATCATTACATTTTTAGCATGTTATATGTCCATGTTACCATTTAGCCAGTATCAGAATGAGAACCAGAGACCATACTAGCATATTTTGGAAAGTGCCCTATTTTTCAGTTTCTTGATGTACAGCTGACTCCAATTACATCTAGGCTTCTGATCTCCACTCCATCCCACAATCTTGGCATTGCACAACTGGAGGCGTCCAACAAGGAGAATCTTTAATGGGAAGCAGATGTTCACCCACTCTTTTGTAAGTTTAAACCTAGTTTAATATATTGGCCTTCAATCCTCTGTTCTTGATCAAGTTCAGTACTACCCAGGCCTGGTCCACAAACTGCTTCAGTACCTTCAAGACATCTCCTATGCTGATATTTCCAATGTGCATGTAGTTTTCATAGATGTATGCAAGTTAAGAGTTTGAACAGTGCCATTATTAGATGATTGAGTACACCCCTGCAGCAAGCATAATATTGTTTCCTACAACAGAGGTTTCCCCAACCCTTCACCAGCCCCGTTTTAAATGTCTGAAGTTACAAGGCCTGCCAGGTACTGTCAATTCATCCCAAAAATTAAAGATCAGGAACTGGCACCCAAATGCAAACAGATGATCCAAAACCCAAGACATTTCCACATATACAAATCTGTAAGCAAACAAGAGGCACTATTTTCCATACTCAACGGTCAAAACCCAGCAATAACTGTGCTTACTTGCTGAGAGGTAGTCCTGAAGAGAGGCTGACTGGCCAGTGACACCAAGGATTCAACTGTTTCCAGCTCCTGTTGGTAAAAGGTCTGAATTCTGTTCTCCAATAGGAAATCTTTCACTTTCTCACTCAACACGTCAATTGCAATTGAGCTGGTAAAGTTCACACCACCTGAGGCACTATAGGGATACAAAACTGTTAGAATATATAACAAGTCAAAAAGTACGTAGCCAAGTTTTTCAAAAACAGGCCTGTAAAGTTCAGCTCAGAGTGTGGGATTTTCAAATGTGCCAAAACAGAGCTCAAAAGACCTCATCCTGGAGGTGAATGCCTGGCTGCAAAGATGGTGTTGCCGGGAGGGCTTTGGCTTCCTCGACCACGGGATGCCATTCCAAGAGGGACTGCTAAGCAGGGATGGGGTTCACCTTTCGAGAAAAGTGAAGACTGCATTTGGATGCAGACTGACTAACCTAGCAAGGAGGGCTTTAAACTAGGTTCAACGGGGGCAGGTGATCAAAGCCCAGAGGTAAGTGAAGAACATGGAAACCTGGGAGATAGGTCAGAAATGGGAGGGAATGTGGGCTATTACAGCAGAGAAAAAGACGGGACAAAGCAAAACTTGGAGGCAATATCAAATCAGTATCTTAGATGCCTATATACAAATTCAAGAAGTATGGATAATAAGCAGGAAGAACCTGAAGTGCTAATAAATAAACATAACTATGACATTGTTGATATCACAGAGACTTAGTGGAATAATACACATGATTGGAATAATGATATAGGAGGGTACAGTTTACTTGGGAAGGACAGGCAGGGGAAAAAGGGAAGAGGTATTGCCTTATATATTAAAAATGTATACACTTGGACTGAGGTGGAGATGGACATGGGGACAGAGGTGTTGAGAATCTCTGGGTTAGGCTAAAAGGGTGATGTCATGCTAGGGGTCTACTACAGGCCACCTACCCAGGTAGAAGAGGTGGATGAGGCTTTTTTTAAACAATTAACAAAATCATCCAAAGCATAGGATTTGGTGGTGATGGGGGACTTCAACTATCCAGACATATATTAGGAAACTAACACAGAGGGCCATAGACTATCCAATAAGTTCTTGAACTGTACTGAAGAAAACTTTTTATTTCAGAAGGTTGAAAAAGCTACTGGGGTGGGGTAGGAGAAGCTGGTTGAGAAGTTAAAAGTGGAAGGCAGTTTGGGTGAAAGTGATCAAGAAATCATAGAGTTTATGATTCTAAGGAATGGTAGAAGGAAGAACAGCAAAATAGAGACAATGGATTTCAGGAAGGCAGATTTTGGTAAGCTCAGAGAGCTGGTAAGTAAGGTCCCATGGGAAGCAAAACTAAGGGGAAAAACATCGGATCAGAGTTGGCAGTTTTTCAAAGGGACATTATTAAGGGCTCAAAAGCAAGCTATTCCGCTGTGTAGGAAAGATAGAAGGTATGGCAAAAGACCGCCTTGACTTAACCAGAAGATCCTGAATGATCTAAAAATCAAAAGGAGTCATATAAAAAGTGGAAACTAGGACACATTACAAAGAATGAATATAAGCAAACAATACAGGTATGCAGGGGCAAGATTAGAAAGGCAAAGGCACAAAGCAAGCTCAAACTAGCTACAGACATAAAGGGAAACTAGAAGAATTTCTATAAATATATTAGAAGCAAGAAGACGACCAAGGACGGGGTAGGTCCATTGCTCCATGAGGAGGAAGAAACAATAACAGGAAATTTGGAAATGGCAGAAGTGCTTAATGACTTCTTTGTATCGGTCTTCACCAAGAAGTCTGATGATGAAGGAATGCCTAACACAGTGAATACTAGTGGGTATTGGGTAGGTTTAGAAGATAAAATAAAAAAAGAACAAAGTTAAAAATTACTTAGAAAAGTTAGATGTCTGCAAGTCACCAGGGCCTGATGAAATGCATCCAAGAATACTCAAGGAGCTGATAGAGGAGGTATCTGAGCCTTTAGCTATCATCTTTGGAAAATCATGGAAGACGGGAGAAATTCCAGAAGACTGGAAAAGGGCAAATCTAGTGCCCATCTATAAAAAGGGAAATAAGAACAATCCAGGAAACTACAGACCAGTCAGTTTAATTTCTGTGCCAGGGAAGATAATGGAGCAAGTAATTAAGGAATTACTACAAACACCTGGAAGATAATAAGGTGATAGGTAACAGCCAGCATGGATTTGTAAAGAACAAATCATGTCAAACCAATCTGACAGTTTTTTTTGATAGGATAACGAGTCTTGTGGATAAGGGAGAAGTGGTAGACGGGATATACCTAGACTTTGGTAAGGCATTTGATAAAGTCTTGCATGATATTCTCATCAATAAACTAGGCAAATACAACTTAGATGGGGCTACTATAAGGTGGGTGCATAAGTGGCTGGATAACCATTCTCAGAGAGTAGTTATTAATGGTTCACAATCCTGCTGGAAAGGGATAGTGGTCTTCTGCAGGGGTCTGTTTTGGGACCAGTTTTGTTCAATATCTTCATCAACAATTTAGATAGTGGCATAGAGAGTACGCTTATTCAGCTTGAAAATGATACCAAGCTGGGAGGAGTTGCAACTGCTTTGGAGGATAGGGTCATAATTCAAAATTATTTGGACAAGCTAGAGAAATGATCTGAGGTAAACAGGATGAAGTTTAAGAAGGACAAATACACAAAGGACATTTTGTTTACGTTGACTGTCCACAGGCATGATGTGGTTCACTGTTTCCAGAAAATGGGAGCTGCGGGAAGCAGTGGCCAGAAGGTCTCCACAGCCCACACTGCTTCCTGCAACTACCATTGGCCAAGAACGGCAAACAGTGGCCAATTGGAGCTGGGGGTGGGGGTGGGGGAGAAACTGTGCCTGCAGACTGTCAACATAAACAAAACGTCTCACGACCCACCAGTGGATCACCTTGGTGGGCTGCAAGCCAGAGGTTACCCACCACTGGGCTGTACTCTCTAAATTAAAAAATATATATATTAGTTCATGCTGTTAGGTGTGTTTGTGCAGAAGTGGGGTGAGGATGCAGCTGCATGGAGGTGGATTTGAAGGGAGAAATGTCTTCTAAGGTTCTGTGTTTTGGTCCTCCACCCCAAAGATCTTGGACATGAAAATCTAAAGGGAGGCCCATATGCAGGGGAGTATGAAAGCACTCCACCATGGTCCCCCAAGTAAGCATTCTCCAGCCAGCCAGGGGAAGGCAGGAGCAGCGTGTTGCCTGAGCCTCCCTCCCCCATGCTCTTACTAGTCGGGAGAAAGCTGGGGCTTATTTCCCCACTTACTTGGGGGGCCGCGGTGGTGCATTCGCACCCTTGCGGTCCACGTTTACAAAAAAAGCCCCCTCTCCCCCGAAATTCCTGTGTATGGGCCTGAAAGGGCAGCGCCTTATGGCAAGTCAAAATTGTGTGAGTCAGAAGAGGCTGCCCAACTACATTGCCTTGCCCTAATGGCTGGGCACACTGTTTCTAAAGTATTTCCAGCCTTTTCCAGTGCAGCAACCTGCTGAGCAACACGCTTTGCTTTTAATCTGGCTACCATGATATTCACCTCCAGGATGAAGAGCCACATTAACTCCTGCTAATGGCTGTGAGTATTTCACACCTAGACTAGATACCAACATAACCATCCTGTTTACCTCTGTGCTTCCTCTGGGATTTTGAAAGGCTTATCATAAACTTCTCTGTAGAGACATGGCAACTTCAACATCCTTGAAATCTGAACATCACACGCAGGATCATTCACTTTATCTGCAAGGATATGAAGGAAAAAACTACCAGGGCTTTGATATTAATTCATTAGCTGAGCACAGCTGAGCTGCTACAGTACTACAAATACACTGGTGCAGCACAAAAGAGTTTCTTATGCCAAACATGGCTGGCACATTTTGTTCTGGAAGAAAAAAAAATGTTTGATGTTATTACTTAACCAAAAGGCAACCATAAACCAAGTGCTTTTTACCCTGAAAAAGCAAAATGATTATTGTGATAGTTTGGGTGTGTGTCCCGTTTTGAATTGGCTTTATGAACACTGTACTACTTATTACAGTCATTCTGAATTCTATCACCCTTTCGATTGCAAGATACCTGCATGTCGGGAGGAGCTAAGTCTGGGAAGCTATGACAAAGCAATCAAGAATGAGCCTTCCCAGGTGAAACAATTGGTTACAAGGCTTTGCAGGTAATCTCTGCACAGAAACCCATTTGGGGAGAAAGGTGCACTGGACTCCTCCCTATCCTCAGCGCATGGCTTAAAGAGCTGCAGATTCTTCATTTGCCCACCTGACTGAAGGGCACAGCCCAGTGACGGGCAACTATGATTAGCAAGTGGGCCACACAAGTGGCCCTCTATCTCAGTGGGCTGCATGTGGTCTGCACACCTGCTCACAGCCCTCTCACACGCAGGGGCACTGGAACCTCGCACTTACCCACTCTTCCCTCTCCCTTCCAGAGCTGGAATACTGTGAATTACTGATTCGTGGTGCTCCAAAAGTGCTGGGAGGCAGGGGGAAAAGTAGGATGTGCAGGGCTCCAGTGCCCCAGTGTGCAAGAGGTATGTGGGGAAGGGGAGCAGACAGAAGGTTCTGGGCTGAACCCCAGTGGGCTGCATGCGGACTGCGGGCCACAGATTGCCCACCTCTGGCACAGACTGTTTTAAAAGTGTGCGTTTCCAAGTGAAACTGAAGACCCAGAAGAAGGGATCTTGCTTCCCTAATGGGCATGAACCAGAGACTCAAAAAAGGTGCTGAGATCAGACAGAAAGGGATTGCAGACCGGCCATTGATATGGGTGAGCTGGTCAAAAACCTGAGGTGCTGCTATAAGCAGGGTGCCTCCAAAGCACCTGTGCCCCTTCTCCTGCTGCTCTTCTGTCATCTGCAGCTGCACTACTCCTGCCCCCTGCCTTGGTGCTCCTGTCCCCTCTGCCCATGTACCCCATCTCCAAATAGCAGGGATGGGGGGAGAGAGGTCACAAGTGACATGGAGCTGCTGTCTGAACAAGCCTTCAGTTGGGTGATTGCCATTGTTCTTAAAGGCACCAGACTGTGTCTCGGACAGAGTGCATCTCTCTCACACACAAACTCTCTCTCTTTCACACTGTGACCGGACAGACTGCCTCTGCCCCTCCGAGGCGGATCTGCCCCGCACTGACCCGGCAGTCGCCCTTGCGCTCCTAGGGGCAGACCGGGAAGCACAGAGGCTTTGTCTGCCGTGCACGGCTGCGGCGGCCCAGCGGAACAGTGGGGACGGGGTTAGCCACACAGGCGAAACGCGGTGGCAGGATGCGCCTGCGGGGCCGGCGGGGGGGGGGTGCTCTCACGTCAGTAGGGTTGGCGGGTGACTTCAGCAGGGCGGGAAGGTTTAAAAGGAGACTACTGGGCAAGCGAGGGGGGAACCCGGCCAGGAGAGGTAGGGCGCCAGTTCCAAAGGGGAAGGAGGAGGGTTCTGCAAGAAGGGAGGGGAGGAGGAGGAAGGGAGCGGAGGCAGACTGCAGGGTAGGAAGCAGCCCAGGGCGGGGCCTGGAAGTGTGGCCGGTGAGCTGGCAAGTTGCGGGCTAAAACGCCCACCGGCTGGACAGGTTTGGTCGAACCTGTCCTTAGGGCGTGAAAGAGGGCGGGCCTGGGCCCCTCTACCCCGCAGCCACCCGTCAGTGGAGCCACCAGCATGCGAGACTCAGGATACTTGTGACCAAAGCGCGGGGGAGACCCCAAGACTAGACCAATCCCCCTCTGGGGCGGCAGGACAGCGAGTGGCGGGCTGTACGTGCATGGAACTGGCACCGGTAGGCCCCTCACTCCAACACACACCCACATGTATTCCCTGTAATTTTATTCTTCCAAAGTTCTGTTATTTTAGCTTTTTGACTAGTCTTTGCATTTCATAATTTTATGTATCTCTTATGTTTAAAATTTAATTATTTGAGTAGTGAAAGTTCCAAAATGCCTAATGTCCCGGATGGCATAAATATCATTATTACTTTTATTATCATATTTGCTTGACATTCATCATTCAAAGTGATGCAGTCAGATAACGGTATTGTTCTAGAACAGTGGTGAGCAACCTGTGGAACCATCAGGGTCATCTGACTCGGGGCCATGAGACACTTTGATGTTGACCATCCGTAGTTACCCCTCCGTCCCCTGCAGCTCCCACGGGCTGTGGTTTGCCATTCCTGGCCAATGGGAGCTGCAGGAAGCAGAAGCCAGCACATCTCTGAGGCCCCTTTGCCTGTAGATTCCACCCCCACAGTTCCCATTGGCCAAGAACACCAAAATGCAGCCACTGGGAGCTGCAAGGGGCAGTGCCTGCGGATGGTAAACATTAGCAGAATGTCTCATCACCCCCCAACAGTTCACCCTCATGCTGCCCGTGGGCCAAAGGTTGCCCACCACTGTTCTAGAATGTATCGTTAGCTTGAACTAGCTTTAGCAGTGCCAGTTTAAAAAACATTAGCTACACACATAACATTAGACACAGGGCAGATGAAAGTTGCTTATTTTCAAAACATATTTTTAATTCTATCTGTAAAATAACTTAAATTGCATGAAAATAAATGACCACTGCGTACTTCCAGGGGGACACGTACCCCTGAGACCCACTGCTTTAGAAAGACCTACAAAGAAGAGATGCATACCCTACCGTGGGACTAAATGTATGTTGCTTATAAAAACACATTCAGTTTGATGCCAAGAACTACAATGCAGAAATATATCGGAAATCAAATCAAATCTAGGATATATGAGAGGCTCTGAGATAAAGCTGAAGCAGTTAGTAACTTAATATCCATCACTGTGGTCTTGTCACAAGCTCACTTAAAAAACCCACACACACTTAAGAGAAAGAGATACTGCTCACAATAGTTGGATGCCTGGATTTCTCGCTTCTCTCTGTAGATTCGGACATGACCTCGGACCCTGACAATATCCCCAATTTCCAGCTTTGTTTTTCGGAGCATCTCCTCCTGGAGCTTCTTCATCTGTTCAAGTAGATCATGGCTGCAAGATGTGCCAGGTACTGATGCAAAAGATTTTGGGAAACCAGAGATAAGTATTAGAATGATGCTTTTCCTGTCACAATTTAAAGGCTAAGTTACCGGGGAAGATCGGCTAAAACCAAGTTACTCACCCTATGCAGTGAATGAGGTTCTTTGTGATGTGTGTCCCTATGGGTGTTCCACTCCAGGTGTCGGAGCATTCAAGCGCCGCTGATCAGAGTTTTGCGGTAACTGTGCCTGTCTGGGTCATGCATTCACTGTGACCGTCTCATGGTGCCATTGGTACCTCATCTAGTGTGCATGTGACCTGACCCTTTTAGTTCCTTCTCTAAGTAGGCCCATATTAAATGTGTGTTGCTTATAAAAACATATTCAGTTTGATGCCAAGAACTACAATGCAGAAATATATCGGAAATCAAATCAAATATAGGATATATGAGAGGCTCTGAGATAAAGCTGAAGCAGTTAGTAACTTAATATCCATCACTGTGGTCTTGTCACAAGCTCACTTAAAAACCCCACACACACTTAAGAGAAAGAGATACTGCTCACAATAGTTGGATGCCTGGATTTCTCGCTTCTCTCTGTAGATTCGGACATGACCTCGGACCCTGACAATATCCCCAATTTCCAGCTTTGTTTTTCGGAGCATCTCCTCCTGGAGCTTCTTCATCTGTTCAAGTAGATCATGGCTGCAAGATGTGCCAGGTACTGATGCAAAAGATTTTGGGAAACCAGAGATAAGTATTAGAATGATGCTTTTCCTGTCACAATTTCAAGGCTAAGTTACCGGGGAAGATCGGCTAAAACCAAGTTACTCACCCTATGCAGTGAATGAGGCTATTTGTGATGTGTGTCCCTATGGGTGTTCCACTCCAGGTGTCGGAGCATTCAAGCGCCGCTGATCAGAGTTTTGCGGTAACTGTGCCTGTCTGGGTCATGCATTCACTGTGACCGTCTCATGGTGCCATTGGTACCTCATCTAGTGTGCATGTGACCTGACCCTTTTAGTTCCTTCTCTAAGTAGGCCCATATGGAAAATTCCAAAGCAGAGGGGAGGAAGCTGGATAACGGAGCACCCACTGGCTCAGGGTTGCAAAGGCTGTGGGAGGCTATGCATTCCCAAACAGCCAAGCTCTGCACTGCTCAGGCTGTTGGCTTGTGTGGTTCCCCCACCTTCCTCACACTCTGGGGCTGTAAGCAGGGTGGCTGGCTCCACATGCCATCTGCCTTCTTCATGCTCTGTGGCTAGGGAGTCTGCGGTCATGTGCTGCCTGCCTTCTCCGTGCTCCTCAGTGATGGGCTAACCTAAGGCACAGCATGGGACAGGTGGCCAGGCTGGGGACGGGGGCTGGTTTACCCACCACCCATGCCCACAGGGACACACAACCTGATGAACCTCAGCACCTGCACAGGGTGAGCAGTGTTCTCTTCTTTGAGTGCAATGCCTTTGTGTGCTCTGTGTAAGGTGATTGAAGAGCAGTGCCCTAGTGTGGATGGAAGCGGCTTTGGAATTGTGCACACAGTCGAGGCTGGCACCATGAGACCTAGTCTAATAATTGCATAATGGCTCATAACTGTGTGTTTGGAGGCACAGGTGGCCACTCTGCAGATATCTATGATTGTATGGTATTTAAGAAAACTATCAAAGTTCCCAACTTTCTAAATTTCACAACACCCTTGCCCCGCCCCTACTTCAGCACTCCACCCTCCTTCCTTCAATGGCTCGCTCTCCCACTTTCACCAGGATGGGGTACAGGACTGGGGTGCAGAAGGGGATGTCTCAGGGTGGGACCAGAAATGAGGGTTCAGGGTGCAGAAGAGGCATTCCGGGCTAGGGTAGGAGGTTGAAGTGCAGGACTCCAGCTGGGGATGTAGGCTGAGGTGGGGGCGGGGATGAGAAGCTCAGGGTCCTGTTGGGGGCTTTGGGTTGTTGTGCATATGAGGGCTATGGGGTAGGGCTAGGAATGAAGGGTTTAGGGTCCAAGAGGGGGCTCAGGGCAGGAGTTTCACTGTGGGAGGGGAATTCAGGCTAGGACAGAGGGTAGGGGGTGAGAGGTCCCAGCACCGCTTACCAGGTCCCTGAAATTCCTAGGAGCATGGCAGGTGGCCAAAGAGGCTCTAACAGCTGCCTTCATGCCCACAGATACCACCCCAGCAGCTCCCATTGGTTGCAGTTCCCAGCCAATGGGAGCAGTGGGGGCAGTGCCTGCAGGCATGAGAGCAGCTCCCAGAACCTCCCTGTCTGCCCCTGAGCCTAAAGACCCACAGGGACTTGGCAGCTATTTCCGGGAGCTGCTCACAGCCAGGGAAGGAGGGAGCCTACATTAGCCCAAGCCCCCACTGCATCACCGACTGGTCTTTTAACTGTCTGGATGTCAGTGCTGAGAAGAGCTGCCAGGGTACCTTTTTGAGCAGATGTTCTAGTCCAAAACTGCTGCCTGGCATGCAAAGATAGATACTGATCTTGTTAAATGGTTCTGATCCCTGGTAGGGGTTCTGTTTTGTGCTACTGATAATACATATAAATGCAATTGAGGGTGCAATTTGATAGCCTCTATGTGGATACTGCAGAGGCCTCGGAACATTCGGTCATGGAAGTGAAAAGTTGTGGAGATTTTTAGAAGGGCTGTGTTTTTTCCAGCTAGACCACTAATACTAGTCAGACATGTAAAGTATATAGGACAGCCTCTTGTATATTCCCATGGGGAATAAACAATAAAGATAAAACCTAGGCAGGTGAATCAGTTGAAGTGAAAAGAGGTTTTTTTTCTTCTAAAGAAGGAAAAAGATGGGAAAATATTAAACTAAAATGTAAAGATCACTAATTCTCACTCTTAATTATTTTCCTATGTTGTCACTGACCCCACTACAGAGCCCATCTCAGGCCGAGGACAGTAAAGAAGGAACTGGGGATGGGGTCAAGTCGGCATGTGCTAACAGCACCAGAAGACAATCACTGCACTGCTACCAAAAATCTCCAATCAATGACTCGGAAGGCACCAGCACCTGAAGTGGAGCACGCACAGGGACAGCACTTGAAGAAGACCTTAGCTTCAGGGTGCCATCTTATTAAAAAAGGCAGCATACTCAGCAGCACTGGAGTTCCTGGGTGTCAATTTTTAGTTTAAGGCTCTGCATTTACTTGGGTTTTTTAAACTGCACAGGTATTGCTCTTCATAGAAAAACAAATCTGAATTTCTCACCCGGAACATACTCCGAACTGTGATCAAAAGCAAAGATTATAATTGTAAGTTGGGCATCACCCGACTATCAGGCTGAGCAAAACAGCAGAACTTTCTTACAGAAGGGAAAGCCTGAGCCACCTGAAGTAACACAAAAGCACTTGTGTGGTGCCATTTTGTGCTTCCAATGATGTAAATGCATCTTAACGGATCTTCCCATTTATGTGAAATCTTGGCTTGAGAGTCAAGCCAATTCCTTAGTTGTTTGAAACCTGAAGTGTGATCCTGGCAGCTATGTCCTGGCTGCAGCAGGCTGTAAAGGAGTCTGCCTGTTCCCTCCATCAGATGGTTTTATAAAAATCAGGGCTGTCCCTCAAGGGGAACAGGGCCTGGGACAACCCCTCCCCCCCATCACACTTGGCCCTGCTCATACCCCACTTTTTACTGCCTTGATCTGTCCCCTTCCCCCAAAATGCTGCCCTGCCCTCCTCCTTTCCCAAGCCCATAAACCCTCCACTACCCAGTGATGCTGGGAACCAGCAGGGGGGAGCTCCCAAGCCCCCAATCCCACGTAAAGTGCAGGGCCCTCCAGAGTACGGAGCCTGGAGTGACTATCCCGAACCATCCAATGAATAGGTCCTCTCTGTATAGAATACAAGCGGCTCCCAAGCCCCCAACCCCACATAAAGTGCAGGGCCCTCCAGAGTACAGAGCCTGGAGTGACCATCCCGAACCATCCAATGGATAGGTCCTCTCTGTATAGAATACAAGCAGTTTTACTGATGGAAAGAAATTACTCAAAGAACATAGATCAGGTTAGGAAATGGTGCTACTGTCCTTTTGTAGAATATGCTCATCTCCCATATAAAACTTGGCAGCCTCATTGCCTTATTGTCTGAAAATTAATGCTCTACCCTGATATACTTATTTGGGAGCAACATGTGTACTAAAATCAGCTCTGTTAAACACACAGGACCAAATTCTCTATTGGTATAAATGGGGACAGCTCCACAGACTGCAGACATTTTCCATCCATTTATATCACCATAGAATTTGCTCCTCTCTGTGTACAACTGACCTCAAGAGTGACAGTATGATCCTAGTTATATATGTGTCTGATTCAGAGCTTCTTGAATTCAGTGTAAAGAGTCCCATAGACTTCAATGGGCTTTCCTATACCCCCAGCCTGAGTTTAAAGCATTTAAGTGAGTAGCAAGAAGAGAAATGCCCTAGGAAAAAAAGCCAGACAAAAGTAAACCATTTCCCTACTGCTGATCTGTGTCATCACTTTTTTGCAGATTTGGAACAGCCCTGATCACTGAACTATTTCCTTCATGTTTTCAGGTTGCTATAGGCTACATTCAAAGTAGTTAATGATGGGCATATGCATATGGGAGCAGGAAAAACAAAACTCCACATAATAGACACAGGCCTGATGTATAAGAGAAGAAATAGGACAGGCCACAAAAGTCAACTGATTTGGTTTGGAAATTGCAGCTGTAACAATGGCAAATTTCCAGGATATTTCTTTACCAGATGAGGTCACACAATGGACCATAGAAAGAAATATCTTTGAACATTTTTGTACTGTCGAACGGAAATGTTACATCACTCTGATAAGCAGTGGTACGAACTGGCCTCACCAACGGTAAGAGCACAAGACGACTGTATAGTGAGGCTATGTTGAGGGGTAAGCATCTCAAAGCAGCCCAGGCTATAGGATGTACTTGTAATATTCTTCATGCCTGAGAACATAATGTGAATTTGTGTCGATTTAATAATTTACCATTCTATCTGAAAAAAAAATCCCCCCCACATTAAAATGTTAAGTCATAGCTGAAATCTGTTATGTACTCTCACATTACCTGACAAAGACTTCTCTACTTCCATGGGATTTTTCCAGCAAATGCAGTTTATGACCCCAGTACTGTCATCCACTGTAAGAGAATTGCATTAATCAATAAACTAACGATCTTGGCATTCCAAGAGATCTCAACACATAACACTGCCCCACTTGTTTCGTCAGTACCCCTTTGGCTCAGCCTTAGAAGAACAAGTTATTTGCATTATTTTTCTGAAGACTACAATACTTCTTATTCTTACTCTGAATCATATGCCAAAACTAGTCCTCAGGTTAGACCTTTGCAGCATTCTCTCTCGGCATCCGTTATTATTAGTGGCAAGATAAATGTTAAACTCAATATTTTAAGTAAAATCTTACACTGAAACAAAACCCACCTACCATACTCTGCACATCTATGTCCCCTTTCATCTTAGGGTATTTCACATTCGTTAGGTTTACAAAATCCATATGATTCAGACAAGTATTACTACCCTAAATTCTTTGGGACCAGGAGCACATCCTTCTGTGTGTATATACGGATCGGCCCACCAAGCCACTGGATCCAGCCCACACACCACCCTGCTGGGACCTTCAGGCACGCAGCTGCCGCAGCTTAAAGCACAGTCCCTGCAGCTCTCTGTTCTGCAGGCAGGGGGAGGCTTTGTATGATCTCCTGGCCCAATCCTCAGCTCCTATAGGCTGGAAACAACCAGAGATTGGCCTGGAGTCTGGGGCAGCACAAGCCTCTTTCCTTTCTCAGAGCGGAGAGCCACATGGAGGTAACAAGCCTGCAGTTTAAAGTGATCTGCAGCATCAGCAGGGAGTCCAGCCTGCTCTAGGGGTGCTGCAGGGCAGCTGGTTTAAGTAAGCAACTCCTCTGGCACCTCTGCCCCTCCCAGGTCACCATCCAAACCCTCTGCACTCTGCCCCCCCCACAGATCACAACTCCCTCCCAGACTCTGTACCCTCTCCTACACTCCTCCCCCAGGCCAGAATTTTCTCCTGCACCCATACCCCCTCCCTGACCCAGCACCCCAATCCTTTGCATCAGGTCACTACCCAAACCTTCTGCAGTCTGCACCCCCTTTTCCCCTTCTCTCAGGTCACAATTCCCTCCCAGACTTTGTACCTCCTCCTAGAGGCCCTCCCCCAGGCCAGAATCCTCTCCTGCATGCATACTCCCTCTCTGAACCTTCACCCCAATCCTCTGACCCAGGTCACAACCCCTCCTTCACCCAAATTCCCTCTCAGACCTCACACCATCTCCTGCACCTCAGTTACTTACCCCGTGTGCCCATCTGCACCCAGACTCCACCCTAGACCTCCACAGAAAAGTGCGGCCCTTGACCACTTTCCAAAATCTTGGAGTGGACCCCCAACAGAAATTATTGCCTAGCCCTGACCTAGTACAATCCTGATTTGATGCTCTACATGCAACTGCACTATATTATATATAAAATGAAGTTAATGAAATCTTAAAGGTTTAAACCTAACATTTTCAAAGGTGGCTTCTGATTTTGGGTTGTCAAGTCATGGCGCTTGGGTCTGATTTTCAGGAGTGGTAAGCATCCATGATTTCTATCACCAGGGTCCTTGGCATCTCCAATCCTACTGTATAGGTTGGACCTCTAACATCTGGACCTTGTTTTGTCCAGCAACATCTGTGACCCAGCATCCCTGTCGGTGTTCCTGGGCTGGAGCACTCACAGGGAAAAGCCAGACCTTACACTCGGCAACTCTTCCACTGCCTACCCAGAGCTTTCGAGCACCACAAACAGCTCATCTGTGGGGCTCAAGTGCAGGGAGGGAGGGGAAGGAGCAGGAGCAGGGTGACTGCTCGAGAGAAGAGACAAGGTGCTACTGGAGCAAAGCCCTGCAGCTGGAAGTAGCAGAAGGTCCGATATTGACTTCCCTTAGACCAGCAAATTCCTTGGTTTGGGGTGCACATGCTTATCTTACCTAAAGTATTGCCATCCCTGGGCAGAGGCCACAGGCTGGTCTAAGTTCCTAGTTACCTTCGCCTCTGAAGTCTGGATTCCCTTCAGCTCTCCCTGCTTCTGCCAAAGTCCTGATTTAAATCCATCTAGAACTTCTTTGTTCTCAGTTTTGAACCTGCTGCCCAAAGCCAAATTGGTGAGTGCTGCAGGAGCATCAAGCCAGCATGTCAAAGGAAAAAGGACTCTCCACTGTCTCTCGAGTATTTTGTTCTGCTTTTTTTCCTTCAGGTCTACAAATATCAAATCTAGTCAAGCTTGCTTTTGCTAAAAGATTTCTTGGAGGCCTCAGAGATGCATATTGAGAGCTTTAACTTTAGGGGTATGGGTGGGAGGTTCTGAACTTTATCACAGATATCCCTACTCCTAAATATTCTTTATATATTGATGTTAAGGAGTAATTAACAAAAAGTAGATAGAATTTATTTTCCCCTCTCAGTTGACCAGACTTCATCCTTTCTCATTTCACTATGGCCTTCCAGGGTAGAATCATAGAACACTAGACCTGGAAGTGACCTTGAGAGGTCATCGAATCCAGTCCCCGGCCGTCACAGCAGGACCAAATACCGTCTCGATCATCCCTGATAGATGTCTATCCAACCTACTCCTGAATATCTCCAATGATGGAGATTCCACAACCTCTCTAGGCAATTTATTCCAGTGTTTAACCACCCTGACAGGTAGGAAGTTTTTCCTAATGTCCAATCTAAATCTCCCTTGCTGCAATTTAAGCCCATTGCTTCTTGTCCTAACATCAGAGGCTAGGACGATAATTTTTCTTCTTCCTTTTTGTAACACCCTTTTAGATACAGGCAGTCCCCGGGTTACGTACAAGATAGGGACTGTAGGTTTGTTCTTAAGTTGAATTTGTATGTAAGTCGGAACTGGTACATATTGTAGGGGAAACTCTAGCCAAACATTTCTCCAGAGCTCAGTTTTATTCTCCCACACCTCACTTCCCTCAGTCCTTTATTCTCAAGCTGAGGTGTCTGCTGAGAAAAGCCGCTCCGCGTCTCCCTGGTCTGCTGGGGGGAAGCAGCTAGTGCGGGGTTGCCTCACTCCATTTGTAAGTAGGGATCCGATGTAAGTTGGATCCATGTAACCCGGGGACTGCCTGTATTTGAATACAGCTCTCATATGCCCTCTTAGTCTTCTCTTTTCTAAACTAAACAAGCCCAACTCTTTCAGTCTTCCTTCATAGGTCATGTTTTCTAGACCTTTAATCATTCTTGCTGCTCTTCTCTGGACCTTTTCCAATTTCTCCACATCATTCTTGAAATGCCCAGAACTAGACCCAATACTCCAATTGAGGCCTAATCAGCGCATAGTAGAGCAGAAGAATGACTTCTTGTGTCTTGCTCACAACACTCCTGTTAATGCATCCCAGAATCATGTTTGCTTTTTTTGCAACAGCATCACACTGTTGGCTCCACTATGACCCCCAGATCCCTTTCTGCAGTACTCCTTCCTAGACAGTCACTTCCCATTCTGTATATGTGAAACCAATTGTTCCTTCCTAAGTAGAGTACTTTGCCTTTGTCCTTATTGAAATGTCATCCTATTTACCTTATATCATTTCTCAAGTTTGTCCCAGATAATTTTGAATTATAATCTTCTCTTTTAAAGTACTTGCAACCCCTCCCAGCTTGGTATCAATCACTAACTTTATAAGCGTACTCTCTGCCATCATCTAAATTATTAACTCCGATATTGAACAGAACTGTGTTATCCCAAAAATATTCTCACTGGAGACCACCCAGGGTTACACTAGTATGGGTTTATTTCCACTAGGTAAAACTAAAGAGGAGAAAGCAGCCACCAAAGGTTTAAACTAAAGAAAATAGAATTCTCTCTCTCTCTCTCTCTCTCTCTCTCTCATTTTCTTTATTCTATTCTAATCTAATTAAAAAACACTGTGAATAAGTACACAGACATATTATTTAGTGACATAATAGCATTTGACTCATGTGCTCCTTCTCTTTATATAGTATCTGAATGGCTCCTCTGACTCATTCACCTTGTCATCAGGGAGCATGCCCAGACTTCCCTTTATCCAGCAGAGAGCATGCCCAGACTGTAATGACTCATTGAAATGTGCTCCATTGTTCCAAGCCTTCTTCAAACGCACTCACACTCACACTCTCTCTCCATTCACTCTGGGGAGAATGCAGCTTAGGGAAATTTACAAGCAAGGTGGCTGAGAGTTACAAAGATTACAAAGTTGCAGTTTTTACAGTAAATTTCTGAGTTACACAGATTACAAAGTTTGACAAAGATCACAATGAGTTGCAGTTTAAAACCTTAGACCTTGCAGTTTGATGTAGCTTTAGAAAATCCATGTATATAAATCAAGTAAGCTCAGGCGGAGGCTTTTTTATGCAACAAACTAGTCCCAAAACAGACTCCTGTGGAAACCCACTTGTTATGCCCTTCCAGCATGACTCTGAACCATTAATAACTACTCTGTGAATGGTTAGACAGCCAGTTATGCACCCACCTTACAGTAGCTCCATCTAGGTTTTGTTTCCCTAGTTAATTGATAAGGTCATCCAAGACCGTATCTAGAAAAGACCTAGATTTTCAATGAAAAAAATATAAATAAATAAATAAAAATCCAAGCAGAAACAGACATGTGTATTCAAGGGAAGAGACTGGGAAAAATATCTTTCAGGTTATCTTTAATTATCAGAAAGGAACAAGTACAAGGACGTTTACCCTCTGCACGTCACCTTTAAAAACAGATGTTGAGAGCATGACTTCTCAAGGTATGAGGCACTCTGGTGGATACAACACTTGCTCCCTGCCTCACCAATCAGAAACTGTTCAGCTGAGAGATGTAAAAAAGTTATGAGCAGGAAACTATGTTACAATTTACACTGCTAGAATCAGCCTGACTGAGGTGGAGAACAGGACAGGGAGGGACAGCCTGGCAGGTATCCTGAAAGCTAAACAAAGAATTGTTGAACAAAATGGGAGCTAAGTTGGACACAAAAGGGTAGGAAGAGAGCAGGCTAGATGATAGCTCTATTCAACCATATCAATCTAACATCTGAGACCTTAATTCCACACATTCTCCTAGGTTCTTTTGTTTATATTGCTCTGTATCCTGCACTGATCAGATGACTTGAGCTAGGCTACATGTTAAAAATAGTCCAATGCATGGGATCCTGCTTCCCTTCAATCGCTCTTGCAAACTCAGATCCTTTTATTACTATACTGCAGTAGAAACCAACCACGCCAACTGCTTTCCAAAAACAGAGAAGACAGACCCTCTAAACACAGGAGACACTTTACTGTTTGAGTTTATGCCCAATACAAGATTTCACTGGGTTTCTGACTTCACTTTCACTACAGATCACCCTTCCACCTTTTTATCTTATGTATTTATAAGGCCCCTATTACCATAGTATCTGAGCATTTCACAGTTTTAATGCCTCCTCACAAGACCCCTACGAGGCAGAAAGTGTTATAATAGATGCAGAACAGAGGTAGAACTGAATGACTCACACAAACTCATACAGGAAAACTATGGTGGGGCAGGAAACTGGATCTGGATCTCCCTAATCCCAGGTTTATGCCATAATCACTGTCCCATCCCACTATTCTGCTGTGCCATCACTATCCCAGTGTGCCCTTCTCTACAATAGAAATTCCTATTGAATAAATGGCCTGGCAGAAGAGTTAAAAATAAAAAGCAAGTTAGTAAAATGTCTGATGTTTTGGAGAAGCAGCTCCTTGTGGAGGAAGGCAGGAGCTTGTGTGCTAGGGAAGCATAAACATTCTATTACTAGTGAGATAGGCAGCAAGTGACTCATCTCATGGCACAGCAGCCTTTTAAGCAAGTCAAGCAGCATGGGCGGATTCAGAATCCCAATTAATGTGCCTTTGCAAAACAGTATGATGGCTAAGGCCCAGTCTTTTAAAGCTAGCTGGCACCTATACATGCAAATAGTCACCCAATAGGATTTTCAAAAGCACGTAAACACCTAGCTCCCAATGGGAAAATTCCAGTAGGCACCTATCTGTATTTTTGCACACCTATATGCTTTTCAAGCTCTGGCCCTAAAAGATGGGGGCAAAAGGGGAAATCAAAATTGAAGGAATGCTTTCAGGCCAGTAAGCAGAAAACGCAAGTGACTTCCCCTTTGCAGAAACCATTAAATCTATTTACATTTTATAAGAGTTTTGCACAGAAGTAGAGCCCTGTAAATTTGTGGATATCTGCTTTATACCCGCAAGCATCCATATCTGCAAATGTGAATGCATGTATCCATGGATCATTTTTGCACATACCAATGGAGATCCCTATTCTAGATATTAAATTTGTATGTTAGATATCGATTAATTGAATAATCAGGTAACCGCATCCAAACATTGCAGTTACATGATTATTCAATAGTCCCCGGGAGCAGGGCCAGCAATCCATGTACTTCTGGCCCCACTCCCAGGGAGCCCCTGGCTACCCTGCACTGCTGCTACTGATATAGAGGCCGCAGGACAGCACCAGCCCATCCACAGGGGGCCTGACCTCCCCACAGCCAGGAGCTGCGTCAGAATGCTTAGGCCTGCCACGGACAGAGGCTGTTCCACCGAAGCCTCCCCTGATTCCAGCCCCACGCTGCTGCCTCTGGTAGAAGCAACAGCACAGGTGGCTGCCCATGCACAGCTCCCCATGCACAGCAGCTCCTGCCTCCCCTTCCTTGCTGCCTCTGATACAGAGGCAGTGAGAGGGGGAAGTGCGTGTAATCGACAGGATTAATCAATAAGCCCAGGCTTATCAGTTAATCGTTTAGTCATCTAAATGTTTACATCCCTAATCTAGAATCCTGCAAATCTGCAGGTATCTGCGGATCATTTGTGCAGATGTGGATGCACTTTTTGTATCCATGCAGGGTCTATGTATAAATGAAGAACAAGAGTTTCTATTCCTGGATTGTATTCCCTGTTCCAACTCATCCAAGACTACACAGCAAACCATTGGTACTTAAAAATACCTCCTTTCCTACCTTTTTAAAGTTCTTTGAAATCTTCATTTGAAGTATGTTACAAAACAGTGAAAAGTATAAATCAACAAAAATTTTTTTTGCAGTAACAAACAACGGTACATCCAATGAGGCAACTTCTAGGTTCTAATGGCTAAATTTTTGCAGTAACAAACAACAGTACATCCAATGAGGCAACTTCTAGGTTCTAATGGCTATAAATGTTGGAGTCCAGAACATGCTAAGAAACAAAAAACTTTTCTTACCTCCATATATATAGAAGGCATCTCGTTCTTTTGTTAGAACCACTGTCCCAACAACATCCACCTGTCTTACTGGATGTCCATTATAAAAGAATATACCTACAGAGAAAGTCAAAGAACATTTCCATTAAATGTGACTGAATACTGTTGCAGGAGTTCTATGTTGATTAGCCACTCATTTTATGAAATGCTCTTTCAATGAATTTTAAAGTTAGCTAACATTTATTTATATAAAAAATATCTTATCAATGAAAATGGGGAAAAATAGTAGTACTTGTTCCACTCACTTATTATGCTAAAAGGAGCTAGTCAATCACAATAGACACTGTAGCTCATCATAGTTTGGTAACTTCTCTCCTTCCTTTAATATTCTGACTACTAACAAAAGAGATAAATGTGATTCTATTTGCAATAATCAGGCGCCAGAGTAAATGTTCTTTTAAATAAATATGAGCAATTTATACATCGCCCAATACTTCTGTTTGAGGCTATCCATAAATTAGCACAGATAGCCTTAAAAATATTACAGATTCAGTGATATTTTCACTACCAGGACTAGAAACCAGAATGGTAGCTAGCAAAATCCATTACCAGCTACCAGTCTCCTTGTGACCTGCAAGACGTAAAGGATGTTCTCAATCAAGCTCCTATTAAATTGGTATATACATTTATATATTTTACATTTACCACTACAATTATCACCCTTTAAGAGAAAAGGCCAGAAGAATGTACTGAGGACTGCCTCTTGAAGAGAGTAAGCAGTTTTTCAAAGGGACATTGTTAAGGGCCCAAAAGCAAGCTATTCCGCTGCGTAGGAAAGATAGAAAATATGGCAAAAGACCGCCTTGGATCAACCAGGAGATCTTGCATGATCTAAAAATAAAAATGGAGTCATATAAAAAATGGAAACCAGGACAAATTACAAAGGATGAATATAGGCAAACAATATAGGAATGCAGGGGCAAGATTAGAAAGGAAAAGACACAAAACGAGCTCAAACTAGCTACAGGAGTAAAGGGAAACAAGACGACATTCTATGAATATATTAGAAGCAAAAGGAAGACCAAGGACAGGGTAGGCTCATTGCTCAGTGACAAGGGGGAAACAGTAACAGGAAACTTGGAAATGGCAGAGATGCTTAATGATTTTTTGTTTCAATCTTCACCGAGAAGTCTGAGGAAGGAATGCCTGACATAGTGAATGCTAGTGGGAAGGGGGTAGGATTAGAAGATAAAATAAAAAAAAGAACAAGTTAAAAATCACTTAGAAAAGTGTGACACTGTTGCAAAAAAAAGCCAACATGATTCTAGGATGCATTAACAAGTGTGTTGTGAGCAAGACACGAGAAGTCACTCTTCCGCTCTACTCTGCGCTGAGAAGGCCTCAGTTGGAGTATTGTGTCCAGTTCTGGGCGCCACATTTCAAGAAAGATGTGGAGAAATTGGAGACGGTTCAGAGAAGAGCAACAAGAATGACTAAAGGTCTAGAGAACATGACCTATGAAGGAAGACTGAAAGAACATAAGAACGGCCGTACTGGGTCAGACCAAAGGTCCATCTAGCCCAGTATCCTGTCTGCCAACAGTGGCCAGCACCAGGTACCCCAGAAAGGGTGGACTGAAGACAATGATCAAGTGATTTGTCTCCTGCCATCCCTCTCCAGCCTCTAACAAACAAAGGCCAAGGACACCATTGTATCCCCTGGCTAATAGCCTTTTATGGACCTAACCTCCATTTGTGGAATCTCCATCTCTTGATCTGAGGAAGTGGGTCTGGCCCACGAAAGCTCATCATCTAATGAACCATCTTGATAGTCTTTAAAGTGCTACATAGTCCTGTATTTTGTTCCATCTCTGGAGATATTTAAGAGTAGGTTAGATAAATGTCTCTCAGGGATGGTCTACACAGTACTGGGTCCTGCCATGAGGGTCAGGGACTGGACTCGATGACCTCTCGAAGTCCTTTCCAGTCCTAGTATTCTATGATTCTTTCTGATATAATCAACATGCTTTACTCTGCAGCATTTGACTTTGTTTCTTGAAGGGAGGGAAGGAGAAAAGCAATGGGAAGGAGACACGAATCTTAGTTGGAAATTTGGTATCTCCATACACATGCATAGAGCAGGTCATGACAAGTTAGAAGGACCCTAAAGTTTCCAGAACAGTTGTGACAGTGACTTGATGTGTCCAAAAGCTGTTTGGGGGCTGTGTATAATGTGTTCACTGTGAGCAACACAACTGGCGAATCATCCTCTGAGAGCAAGACTGCTGTTAGTAAACCTTTTATACTATTTATATATAGCTCCCCTTTATTGTTGATAAGGTGCTGTCACATTGCAGAGTCAGTAATCTGGCTAGCTGCACTTTAACAGGGATAAAGAGGACCATTTCCTGGCTATAATTACATTGTATTGTTGCCTTTGACACCCACTCTCATTTCAAGGCCTCTGGAGCATCAAAATTGCTGCTTTTATCTGCATGGTTTTCAGCCTTCATGTCACCGTATACAACAGGAAAGAAGCTGTCTGGATTTACATTTTTTCCCCAGTGTTGTTCTAAGGGATTAATCATTGTTCATAGAATCATAGAATAATAGGACTGGAAGGGACCTCGAGAGGTCATCGAGTCCAGCTCCCCGCCCTCAAGGCAGGACCAAGCTCCGTCTACACCATCCCTGACAAATGTCTATCTAACCTGTTCTTAAATATCTCCAGAGAGGGAGATTCCACCACCTCCCTTGGCAATTTATTCCAATATTTGACCACCCTGACAGTTAGGAATTTTTTCCTAATGTCCAATCTAAACCTCCCCTGCTGCACTTTAAGCCCATTACTCCTTGTCCTGTCCTCAGAAACCAAGAGAAACAAATTTTCTCCTTCCTCCTTGTGACACCCTTTTAGATATTTGAAAACCACTATCATGTCCCCCCTTAATCTTCGTTTTTCCAAACTAAACAAGCCCAGTTCACGAAGCCTGGCTTCATAGGTCATGTTCTCTAAACCTTTAATCATTCTTGTCACTCTTCTCTGTACCCTTTCCAATTTCTCCACATCTTTCTTGAAATGTGGCGCCCAGAACTGGACACAGTACTCCAGCTGAGGCCTAACTAGTGCAGAGTAGAGCGGCAGAATGACTTCACGAGTTTTGCTTACAACACACCTGTTGATACAACCTAGAATCATATTTGCTTTTTTTGCAACAGCATCACACTGTTGACTCATATTCAACCTGTGGTCCACTATGACCACATGATTCTAGCAGTTAGATCTGGAAAAAAGACGTATTAGATCATTTAGCCCATATTCCTAGGGGCCAGTGTAGGCTTATTCCATGCAGTATATTCGTTAGTGATCTGTACAATTCTGACATAAATAAATTTGAGTGATGGGGCTTCTGGTCATTCCCTAGGGAGTTTGTTCCACAATCAAATGTGTTTCCCCTTGGATTCAGCCTACATTTCCTTTTTAATTTCCTCCCATTGCTCTTTGCCCCGTCTTAAGTCATTCCCAATTGCCATTAATAACCAGTTTATCAACAATTATATACTTTACAGCATCTGATCTTTACCAAACCCATTAGCAGAGAAGGGTTTTATACAAATTTATATGTTGCCTACCCTGTTCCCCCACCAGCCTTCCCCAAACACTAATTTGTGTATATTCTATTCTGATGGCATTTGATGTGGGTGAAAAAGATGATGTGGAAGGTACCTGGCACGAGTGTGTTTTGCACATGTACACTTCCCAAAGAGACAGGCAAGAGAGTTAGCATTAATTGTGTTCCGTGACTTTTCATTTTTATATGGGATCATAAAGTCTGTTTATATAAACACATGCATACAAAAGGACTGCAGTGAGCTTGGCTGTGCACAGAGACAAATCCACAAGAAATGTGGAAAACATGCATGCCCCAATTTTAAAAGGCTGGTATCTTAACATAGCAGAGGATACAGCCTTATGAGCATCTTATTTAGAAGATTAATGATAAAAATTGCGGCAGATGAGGAATCTCTCGCAAATAAAATCTCATGGCATGCAAATGAGACATGTAAGAGCATATCTGGGAGAGAGAGAATTGCTGTAGTTGTCTAGGACTTTATAAGAACAGAGAAAATATGTTTGTTGGTGTTCACAGAATGTGTTATTCTTCTGTTGTGTGCTATTATTAATTGTTCTGGAGAAGCACGTAGGAGCCCCAGTCATGGACCATGACCCCATTATGCTATGTGCAGTACAACACATAGAACAGAGATAGTCTCCGTATTATTGTGTAAGTACTTAAAAATGGCAGTCTGTCAACTCTTTGGGGGCAAGGAAATTCTTTTAATTGATGCATGCATAGCACCTATCGTGAGCCGCGTGCGGTTCTTCTCCCCCTGTCAGTGCGGCTCATGAAGCCGCCCCCGCCTCCTGTGCTCTCTGGGGCAGGGGAGCCATCCAGATCCAAAATGGTGGATCAAAAAATGGTGGCTGCGGATGGGAGCCTGCTGAGGCCAAAAAGCTGTTGGATCCAAAGCCTTTTTAAAGGGACAGTTTTTTGTTTGTTTTTTGCTCTACCATTTTTGGGGGGGCTCCTTTCTTTTTCTTCGTCTGGAATGGGTTGGCCACCCCTGACGTTTTTTTGCTCTACCATTTTTTGGGGGGCTCCTTTCTTTTTCTTCATCTGGAATGGGTTGGCCACCCCTGACCTATCACAATGGGGCCATTATCTCAGATTTAGGCCTAGAGTATATAATACAAATAGACCATTTTAAAACACAAAATTAACAATCTCTATAGAGGCACTCCCCAAGTTACAAATATCCGACTTATGAACATCCGCACAAACAAACAAAAGCTCAGCAGCCTGAAGCAGGAACATCCTTAGGATTTATGGGGCTCTACACAGTACTATTAAGCTAGTGCCCCATGGCCAATGGCAGTCTTTGCGGTGGGATGATGATTGTTTAGAGATGTGATTTTATAATATTCAGTAGCACACTAATGAAATAATTTTAAAGCAAATATCAAACTAAGGTCCTGTTGACTAACACAGTCGATTCAGAAACTGACAGTATATATAAGGGGTTGGCAAATGCCTGTTAAATGGTTTCATTACCACATGAATGGCTCTTTCACAGGTTCAGTTCTGCTAATAGCTCTTGCAGGCTTTTTCACTTTTATGTTAACTAGATCCTCTCTGGAGAAAGCAAAGCCACAGAACAGGGATAGGATGAGATGGGTGGACATTAAGTCCCACTGATGCCCCAAATTTTCTGATGCCCTACACAGCTGCATATTCTGGGTAGGGATGGTCCTTGCCTCAGGGGAGCAAGCAAGAGTCAGTGATAGTGACAAGCAGTGCAAGTGCTGGCCAGATGACTCCGGAGGAACAGCCGGTAATTGCATAGCCAGCGGCTGGAGAGAAGTGGCACGTTGAAGGGGAAACCGACATTTCTCTCCAGCAGCATGTCCACATCCTGCTCCTCCAGAGTCTTCTGGCACAGGCCCGTACCGCTTGCCACCTCCTGTTGATCAGAGACTGGGTGCAGCCAATGGGGGGGCAGGAGACAAGGAAATGGGACTGGCCACAGGAGCTAGCTCCGAGCCTGTGGGGGGCTGGTGGCCAGGGGTGCCTAGAAATCCCTTTCAGGATCTCCACCTTCCTCCTCATTCTCCTCTAATTAAACTTGCCTTTCCTCAAGCACCAGCATTCAAGGATAAATAAAAAACTATTTCGACTTTTTTCATGGCAAATATGCAGTATTTCAGCTGCATTATGGGTTAAGTAGGCATTTGTGGGTTAGCTTGGGAATGTATAATTTATTACACTGGGAAAGTGCATTCAGAGTTCCGAACGACGAACATACAAATGAGCTTCTGGAACACAACCCATTTGTAAGTTGGGGACTTCCTGTACTTGGTCAATAGGCTCTTTGAAAAACATCTATCATATCTATTTCCACAGAAGTAAATATGCTGGGTCTTGTACACGTCATATTGTCTCTAAGGACACAACACTAGATTTAAGGAGAGCATAACAAAGCCAGTTCTTGGCACCCTTCCTATTGTCAAGGAAAAGTTAATATATTAACAAAAATTAAGAGTAGTTCTTCAAGGGTAAAGCAAGCCAAGGACTCTCTTTTACTCAAGGGGATAAATAGATGCACCTAGTCTTTCTTGTAGATAAGCCTACTTGACTATCTGATTTTTATGATTATCTCTAGGTTTCCCTATGGGTTTTTTCTTTCCTTGTCCCCCGCACCATCCTTACTCCTAAAAACCATTTTAAGTCTGGCCCAGCGTGGTTTGGGGTACATACCCTCACCACTGTATGGAACACGCTGTAGCCTGTTTAGGTTTGTCTAATGATGACAGCAATCCAATGTTAGCTCTGTGCTGCCTTACAAAATGTATATACGTGGGTGATATTGGCTGGGGCTCCGCAGGAAAACAATGGTTAGGAAACAAAAGGTGTGTCATAAGAATCAGTACAGAAACTAGAATGAAGAGCAAGGCTTTCCAAGTACATGAGATATCCATTCATATTTAGAAACCAAACAAGCAAAGCTTTCCCCCTCAATTCCCATGAATGTGCCCTGACAAAAAAGCACTACTCTTACTGTTTTAAAATGTTTTTTAAAAGTGACCACTTTGCAATATGAAGGCAGTAATGAAAAGGCTGAAAATCCCCCAAGCATTTTTAAATGGCTTGAGAATGAGAGAGCATAACAAAAAAACCACCACTTTTATTTTTTTTACAATTACTTAGATGCCAGTAACACACACACAGACAGAAAGTTAGTGAACCCTTTCTGCTCTGTCAACAACTCTCAATTTCAGAGAGACTGTTTCATACCAGTTAGAACAATGGAGAAAGCATCTGGTCTCCTAAATTCCATTTTCAGTGCTGCCACTACAATTCTATATAAATTAATACCAGTTCTTTGACTGGATGGAGACAATATTGATCTCCTTCCCTCACTGGAGTGACTGAGAACTCATTCATCAACATTCAAAATCTGTGGTAGAGATCTTCGGACAGACAGTTCTATATAACAGACTGCAACTTTGTGAAGCTGATGCTGTTCTACAATCACTCCCACCAGTAAGTAAACCCATTACATTTCTATACATACCACAGAAATCAGGCATATGCACATACCTGGAACCTGCTTAGATTCTTTCATTTCCTTTATATCCTTAATGTAGAGTCTTGCAAATGCACAAAAAACAGGATCCAACCCCCATAAAAGAGAAGGCATCTCTGCTTCATACTTCGCTGGCTGGGACTGCATTCAGAAACCAAGTGATCAATTCCCATTAACAACGACAGGCTAGGGATTGCTGATGATCTTTATCTACAAAGATGAAAAGATGCTATTACATATAGTCCTCAAAAATGGATTGTGAGATTTTCTTGACACTGCAGCAAAAAAACACAAGTAAAGTATGTGCTGTGCTAGCTTACTTGAAGTAACCAATAATAGCAGCAATAATATTTTGCAATCAATGCCTTCAAATTGGTGACAAATTGAGGGGATTTTCTTGCATAAATACAGTGACAGAAAGGTGTCCAAAATATATCTCACTAAATACAGTAGGAGTACCACAAGCCTCCTTTTTTACTTTTCCATTTGTCTTTTTGTTTACAGTTTTTTCCCCTTCAAAAAATAAGTATCCCCCCAATTCATATACTTAAATATTTTACTGAAAAATTAGCTTATTTTATTGGAAGCAAATAAGAGCAGCGTCCTCTTCCTCTAGATGGTGATTGGTCCTGCTAAGAGGCCAGGCGACTGGACTTGGTCTCTCGAGGTCTCTTCCAGTTCTAGTATTCTATGATCCTAGGCCACCCAACCTTAAATACGTCACACTGGTTACCTCTCCTTCCCTTTGCTTACTCCTGGTTCTCTTCTCTCACCATATCTTAGCTAATTTAGACAGGCAGATAATTTCAGAAAATAGGTGGTTTGCCCAAAAATACCTGCCCTGGGACATACAGTAGGAATTTTGAGCCCTGACATGCATTTTTGTTAACTTCCCCTTTTCTGGCATTTAACTTGTTCCTATAAAGTACTCAAGGTTGCTCCAAAGAATGAAAGAAGCTGTAGAAAACAATTCTAACAAAAGAAGGATACCACTGTCCTGCAGCCTCCCCAATTTGAAGTGCAACACTCATTCATGCGGATTGATATAAGGGTAAAGATTTGTTTATTGCTAAGTTCCTCAGTGCAGCCATTCCCTTTTGTTCATGCAAAATTAATATCAGTTCACTGTGCCTGGATTTATTTTTATTTCCTCCTCCTCCTACAGTCAACTCTTTCTTCCATGCTGCCCCTTACACATGGAAGGCCCTTCCAAAATCTATCCAACCATCCTCTCCTCATTGAAATCCCTCCACAAAGTTTGTGTCTCCCCCTGAAACCTACAAAAGTGTGAGTTACATCAACCTTTTTCTTTCTGAGGCCCTTCCCCCTCTCAACATGCTATAAAAACTCAACAGCCCACCTATGCCACAACTGTCCTTCTGCTTATAAAAGCCAGGGACAGCTTTAAGGAGGAGGAAGTAGAGCAACTGCCTGGGGCACCATGCCACGGGGGGCTCTGCAAAATTAAGCTGTTTCAACCCAACCATAGCTCAGGGACCGAGACTTCAGTCCCACATGTTGGAGCTTTGGCTTTCTGCCCTGGGCCCCAGCAAGTCATACGGCTTGGTGGATCCCCTGAAACCTCCTTGCGATGCCCAAAGGGCCCCACATTGCCAGCTGAGAAAGAATGAACTACAGGCAGTCCCCGACTTACGCGGATCCGACTTATGTCAGATCCGCAGTTACAAACACGGACTGCGGGACTTTGCGGTCCCGCCGCCCGTGTACTCCCGGCAAGAAAAGCTGCTCCACGTCTGCCTGGTCTGCGGCTTTGCAAAGCCGCGGAGGACCCGGGCGGCGAGACCCCGGTGCGTCTTGGTCCGCCGCCCGCGTCTTCCTGGTCTGCTGGGGGGGGGCTAGGCTTTTCCAGCAGGCTAGGCTTTTCTCCGGTCGCCTGTGGAAGAGCAGCTGGGGCGCTGCCGCTTGGTCCCGCAGCGCCGCTCTGAGCGCTACTGGACCACCCCGGCAGCCCCCCAGCTGCTCTGCCACAGGCGTCCCCAAGTCAGCTGCTGCTGAAACTGACTGCCAGTTCCGACTTACATACAGAATCAACTTAAGAACCCCAAGCTCTCCAAGTCAGCTGCTGCTGAAACTGACTGCCAGTTCCGACTTACATACAGAATCAACTTAAGAACCCCAAGCTCTCCAAGTCAGCTGCTGCTGAAACTGACTGCCAGTTCCGACTTACATACAGAATCAACTTAAGAACCCCAAGCTCTCCAAGTCAGCTGCTGCTGAAACTGACTGCCAGTTCCGACTTACATACAGAATCAACTTAAGAACCCCAAGCTCTCCAAGTCAGCTGCTGCTGAAACTGACTGCCAGTTCCGACTTACATACAGAATCAACTTAAGAACCCCAAGCTCTCCAAGTCAGCTGCTGCTGAAACTGACTGCCAGTTCCGACTTACATACAGATTCAACTTAAGAACAAACCTACAGTCCCTATCTTGTACGTAACCCGGGGACTGCCTGTACTTGATGTTTAGATCAAGCTTTATCAAGCTGAATACATGAAGCAATTCAGTGTATGATCTTATTAATTTAATTCTAGTGACCTCACCCCTCTCTGTTCCACTCTGGAGCAATGTTCATCACTTCTCATTGTGTCTAAACAAACTCTAGATTTTAAGCTTTACAAAGAAAGGATGTGGGTTGAGTGTGTTTTGTAGAGTAACCTAGCAATCCTTTGGAAATGGCAAAATTATTACTATCAGTCTCCCCTTTCCACTTAATCTGTTGCACATTTGTTCGCATCATCACACTAGAGCAGTATGGTCACCATTTCTGAGGGCCAATTGTTTGCTTCTTTTCAGTCCACCTTGAGAATCACTTTTTGAGTTGGGTCTTGCTCTTAAGAAGGATGTTTTGAAACTGTGAAGGGGCATAGCACATGATAAAGTCCTCTGTAAAATTAAATGTTAATAAACCTTCATTCTGTAACTAACCAAGGCTAGAGCAGCCCATGTGTCAGGAGACCAGGTCATAAGTAGTCAGATCTGATGGTCAGAGCAGAAGTCAGGCTCAGAGGTCAGAGTAAGAGATAAGAACAGCAGTCACAATTTGAATGCCACAAATCAGGATCAAGACAGAGCCAAAACAAGGAATTGGAGCCCAGCATCAGACCTGGAGTCAGAGAAGGAAAGAGCAAGGTTGGTTCAGAAGCAGAAGTGAAGTGGGTACAGGACTGGAAAAAGACCATGTGCTAGCCAGGCAGCTACTGGTTGGGTTAATATCTGGCCTGATAGCTTCCTAAGTCAACCAGGCATGACAGGAGTCTAAGCAGGCATAGCTGCAGGGGTCTAACCAGGTTAGAGTGAAGGGAAGCAGTTCTGTGTACCCCACTCCCACACAGAAGGAAGAAGGGTTAAAATATCATGTCTGTGTCATGATGCTATTTTAGGGGCACTTATTCTCTGGAAAGTAACCTGAGATGAGCACATGATTTTGGTTCTCTCGGGAAGTTCTTCCCGTTGTATAGGTCAGTATCTCCCAAACAAGAGTTATTAGATACAGTCCACATGTTGATTTCCAACATCTGTCAGTTTTACAACAGAAGACATTTCTCAGAGCCAAACCCAAGATGACACTTGTAGACCTGAAAGCAACAAGGGAAGAGCTAGGCAAAAAACAGGTCTGACTACATTTTACTGCATAGATTCATACATGGTGTGGTGGAGCAGAAGAAGAAAGTCATTACTGGCACACATGAATCCCTGGGATAATTAATGAAGGCCTTTCCCATCAATGGCCTTTCCCCATCCGGGAAATAATGAAGTACAGTAAAACTCCATTAGTCCGGCATCCAATGCTCCGGGACTCCTGATGGTCTGGCACCATCAGGAACCCGGAAGTGCTGGGGCAGCCGGACAGGCTTCCCCCATTCAGCTGCTGCTGAAACTGACCAGCAGCTGAATCGGGGAACCGGGAGCAGAGCAGCTGGGGTGCTGCCGGGTTGGTCTCGTAGCGCTGCCCCTCGGGGCTGCGGGACCAACCCGGCAGGGCCCCAGATGCTGCTCTATTGCAGGCATCCCCGATTCAGCTGCTGCTGAAACTGACCAGCAGCAGCTGAATCAGGGACGCCTGGGGCAGAGCCAGACTATCGTAAGGGGGGGTTATGAGGGGTCTGGGGTTGGCATCCCCTCCCACCCCACTCCATACTCCTCATAGCTCCCCCTTCTGATAGTCCGGCATATCTGAAGTTTACTGTATTTGGGACTTCAATAGCATTTACTATATTTTTAAGATTTCCAGACATTTCCAAAAGGTAGATAGGCTGGACTGGCACTTTGAAATTCAGAGCCCGTACACAGTTTGCATGATGGGAAGCAGCAACTGCCTCATCTGTTCTTTCTTTCCCACCCAGCAGTGAGAATGATATAATATGCACTACTCTACTTTGAGCTGAATGCCCAAAGGTGTGGCCCATATTAATACAATGGTCTGCCCTCTGGCCTATGAGACTTTGAAGAAAGGGTGTTGCCAATGCTCATGATTTTTTCATGAGTCTCATGATAATTGTTCCCTTTAAAGACCCAGCTCACGGAGTCAAGTGGATATGTGATGATCTCAGCCTTCATTCTTAAAGAATTAGTAAGTTTCTAGCCCTTGTGACTATGGAGAAAGCTTCAAAATGTGATTCCAGTGAAGGCTTAAAAGCAAACAAAAAATAAAGTACACCAAATCTATTATTTGTACATAATCTCATGATTTTGGGGAACCTGACACCTTATTTTGAACATTTGAGGTTGCCAATACTGTTAATTCTAGAAACTTCAGACCTCTCGCTGGCTCAGCAGGGCCTCATATTCAGGGCATCACTGGGGAGAGGTACAAATGGACCTCCAGTGAGCACCGGAAGACCTTTAAACCTCCTTATGACACACACACACTCAGACAAAGCATGCTGTAGAAACAAAAAGCTTACAAGTTTGAGGAAATCCCTCGTGGAGTGGTATGTGTGCTTTAGCAATAGTGTTCCAAGGTCCTCAGCAGCATTCTGTGGGAGTCCTTTGGTCTGACCCAGTATGTCCTTATGTTTTTATACCCCCTCACCCACCCACTGTGACTTCCATTCATCTAGTATTGTGGGCTTCCATAATAGCTCTGTTTTGATTTATTCTTGTCATTCATCATAAGCACATTGAGAATATACCAATACTGTCAAGTAATAGGTGTAACGGCATTGCGCAAGAGAGTTTTTCTTGCACA